AAATGACCAAACAAGCACTTTTTGCTTCGCCATGTTTTCAAATCCCCGGGTCAGATATAATGTTTAAACTCGCTTTACTCACAATATATTTAGAAAAATAGAATGGTATTATCTTACTCGTTGCCACTTAACAAATCTCGGGAATTTTATTGTTGCAATCGGTAATTGTGACAATTCAATGGCATTTCTGGCGCAAATTACAGTCAAGCGAGATGTTTAACACATCCAGAACATCGAACGACTGTGAACTCCCTGGTTAGGTTAGGTCAGATTCAAAACTATGTTTCCTATGGTTTTCGATGTGTTTTGTACTTTTTTTTAACCTTAGATTTTTATAGCAAATCTCTAGATTCTGATGGGAAGGCCCTGGCTTATCTCAGAAACTACGGATTTGCTCCAGAAATGAAAGTCAAATTCGGTCATAACACATAAAAAAAAACCGGAAAAAGTTTCAACTTCGATTTCGTAAAGTGACAAGTGAAAATTTACCAATAACTCAAAAAAGCTCCGAAATTGTACCGTAACGAAAGTTGGGTTGTATTTTGAAATTGTTCATGTGCAGTGGCGGCTCGTGCATAGGGCTGCAGTCCCCCCCAGACACTCACTGCCAGGCGTATGATTCCTTTAGAGAGACAGCTGAATAATGCACTACCAACAAATATATCATTTTATATGTTATTTAATTATTTTCAATACGTTGCTAAGTGAATTTTCATTAAAATCAGACCAAAATTTAAGTTACTTTCATAGTTGCTGTCAATGCTGTACGATTCATGTCTGTTATTAATTGGCGCCGCCGCCGCTGCACTTGAAGCAGCTGAGTCTCGTACAACGTGTTTACATTGCGTGTGGACGGTGTGGTTAAATCGTGCTTTCTTTAATTACCCTTTGACGATGGAAAATCGAGTGAAGTATTTGCAAAACATCAACTTTTCCCAGCTGACATTAAATGAAAAGACTGAAATCAAAGCAAGAGGAAGACCTTCACCAGTTTTATCCATTCAACAGAACAGTACAAGCAGGAACAAAGAATATACACGCCAGTTTAACATGAGTGTTTATGGCTCTGTGGTTGTGACGAGGCAAATACTTTATTCTGCTTTCCATGCTTATTGTTTGGTGGGGACTCGGCATGGACGAAAAGTGGTGTGACTGACTTGAGGCATTTGCCACAGAAAATAGTGAAACATGAGCAGTCAGCCAAATAGTAATAAACAATTTTGCTACATCAAAGAGCAGACGCGCGGACTTTATTTTCAAGTAAAACATGGTGAATGACAGACTGTCTGCTTTAGCAGTGATATCCATTGAAAATAAAATGATAACAGAAATAAAGGATTTTAATGAAATAGTAATAAACAATTTTGCTACATCGAAGAGCAGACACGCCGACTTTATTTTCAATTAATACTGGTCCATCACCACCAACACTACTACCATGCCCTGGGAATTCGTGGACACCAACTACAACTCATACCTGAGGTAGGTCAAATTTGTGTATCCTACTGTTGTGTGAGGCTTGCAGTCCCTCCATTTTATTTTTCACGAGCCCCCACTGTTCATGTGTACTACATGTTCGTCTCCGAAACGGAACAAAATCTGTGTTCTTCTGAGTATCTTATTTTTGTTTTAGTTAAAGTCAAGGCTATCAGTTAGACTACATAACAAAATGAAGAAATCTAACCAGAGAAACCAGAAATACCTACTGACCTAACTTCCTAGCCAGGGTAGCGGACCGTCCGGTGTAAGACACTTACCTTAATTAAGAGACGCAGGAGAAGAGTGATGCCACTTGAATGAGGAAGTGGTCCAATACGGTGTCCACGTTTGTGTGATGCCCTTGAAACATGGACCTAGCAAATTATTGCCAGTAATGTTTTTTTTTTCTTTTTGCCCACACGAAGTACGCAGAATTTGATGTCCTTTAAATGAAGGCAGAAAATCCAGACCAAATCTCTTCTCTTCGTCAATGTCCATCTCTTGCCACAGTACCACGTATGGCGACCTACACGGCACTGACTCTGAATCGCATCTCGGACACGTTACTGACAAAACAAGAACACCGTGAGCCCTACAGATGTCAAACACTGCTGCTTCACTGATTTCACACACACGCCATTTTCTAATTGCCCTAGTCACCGACGCGCCGCTCGCCGAGACTTGCGCTGATTGGCCAGTGAAGAATTAAGCGCATGCGCATAACTATCATGTCACGTCGACACTCATGCTGATTGCCCGAGTTACGCGTAAATGCTGGAAATTTTAATTAGAATATAAAAATTTAAATAACTTGAAAACTATAAAGTTCCTACGGAAACGCTATAGAATAAAATATTATTTTTCCTTTATCTCCCAAAATAAGGCTCAGTATATAAAGGCTGTGTCACACTAGCACTTTTCCGTGACTCCCGGTTTCCGTCGTTTTTTCCCACGAATTGTCCATTTTTCTAGCCCATCTCGCTCGGACGAAACGTATCCTTTCCGTCTGACTGACTTGCTCATTTAAAAAAAATGCTTAAGATATTGAAAGCATAATGTATTGTCTAATGGTAGACTCTGCTGCCATATGGCATCACAAACATTGGGACCTAGTGTAGTGGATTTCTCCCCTACAAACGCTGTTTGTCGCTGGGTAGCCGACCCCGCGAATTCCCCAGTGTATGCCTCGTGGTCTAGGTCAACCAGCGCCGCCTTACATGACGGTGGTCAACTACTAAGCCACGCCTACCCCCGCTAGTTAAGACCTGACCTCGTGGTGACCACTCTCTTTTCTACCTACACCACCAGCCAGCAACACCTACTCCTCCTCCTGCCTGGCGGTCCTCGCTCCCGCCGGAGAGCATGGCGACCCACAACCTGTCCTCTGAGCATCCTCACCAACCAGCTCTCTCTACATCACGCTTGTAACCACGCTGCCACTTCCCAGCACCAAGCTGCATTGTACATCCAATACAACATGTATAGAGAGAGCACATTGTGAGTTTCCTTTCTCCATCCCATCCTGAACCCCACACTAGTTCTAGGTTACTGATATGACTTAATGCCTCATTTACACACAGTTGCAGGGTTTCAATTGTTTCGCTGACAACACAACATACATACTGTACAGTATATATTTTCTCACATTTTTTATATTTATATATTATCATTATTATTATTATATTAAATTGTATTTGTATTTAATACTTGCTTTTTTTATTATCCAACCCCCCCCCCCAAGACCAGTGGCGTTTCTAGCCTTCGGAAAGTGGGGGCCCTGGGGGGGGTCACTCTCGGGCCAAGGTAAATGTTGGGGGGGGGGGGCAAAACCAAACCTGTGTACAACTTGCAAGATGCAGTTTTTGGCATTATAACACCAATTTGATTGACAAATGTGAAGTGGCGTCTCTCATGACGCCAGCCTAAAATAATCAGCATATGGCGGTATAATGGCAACGCTCTTATTCCACTAATCGTGATTCATTGGAGTATTGACACACTTGAACTTATCTCTAAAACTGTATTATTGCTCACATAGTCACATAAAGGGCGGGTGTACCACATAACAAACATTGAAAAATATAGCAGCGTCTTTACAATGTATGTACATACATCAGCGAAAAAATGAATGATCTCACGCTTCACACATAATGGAGATTATGGAGACAACGTTTATGTTTTCAGACATGGGCGCCGCATGCAACTGTTACATTATACCCAATGGCAATGGTGCGGTTTCAGTTCACACGGTACTGTGACGGTAGCAGTATATTCAGTGCAGCTTAATCCTACGATTATTATGTCGGCTGCCAAACTCGTCGACAAAACAATCTAAATCAATTCCCCCAGCGCGTGCACTTTCATTCGATAGTAGCGCGATGTTACTCAGTCTGTCACTGGACGTGGAATTTCTTGGGAATGTTTTCACTAATTTCATTTTCGAAAAGCTTCTCTCGCATGAAGCACTGGTAACAGGGAGAGTTACAGCTATCAACAGTAATTTATACAAACAGTCAAATGCAGCCTTATAAGGGCATATAAATGACATAAATTGCACGAGCTATGAAGGTTTTTGTTCCTTCACGAGCAATTTCTTCACCAGAGGTATCTCATGTTGTAAATCACTTTGATTGACTGAGTATGTAACTGCAATGCCTTCAAATCTTCAGACAAGAATGTCCGTCCTTCTGGACCCCACCCCGCATATCTGCACCGTCCTAATTCCTGCCCTCACCTCACCTCAGTGATCTCACCTCACCCATGCCTGCACCTGGCGTGCGGTGCACTCATTGCCTGAGTCACTTGACTCACTTCCTGGTTTTTGGAATTACAATTTTGAGAATAAAAAGTGGGGGGGGAGAGGGGCAACCCAGGGGCCAAATCTGGGGGCCTATAGAATGGCCCCTGCCCAAGACCTGATGTGGGTTATTTTCATGTGTCCTGGTGAGCTAATGTAAAAAAAAAAAAAATTACATTATTGCAGTTATATCTAGCCATATGTGATTCAAATGTTTACCGACAGACTTGTGGTGGCCACTGGAGTTATGGGCAGCGTTGGCAGTGAGAAACATACAAACGTATCCAAAAGAGTATTAGAAAATGTTAAAACGTATCCATAAACTTCCATAAATATATCCACTTTTTTTTCTTTGCGACATTCGTTAAAAAAATGGCAACTTTCTTACATAATGCTGACAACATACGATAGGTTTCCCATGCATCAACTGTCTGGCAACAGGAATATATTTTTACAGGATTCAAGAATTCTAATGAATGTGAGAATGGAAATGTCTTTGTGTTTCACATTTCTCCTTGATAGAGCACAAAATTATGTGTGGTGTGTGTGTGTGTGTGTGTGAGAGAGAGAGGGGGAAATTAACATTGTCTGCACTGGCTATATGTACAGTAACGTGGTTATAACCATTTCATATGCTTGTTTTATTATGTTAATAGTATCGTCCTACCTTGCCATCTGGATTTAGTTCTAAGACACCTCTTAGGAATAGTAAAAGAAACATTGCTGAATAATATAATGCTTTTTAATATACTCTAAGTAACTTCAAAGTGAATTACATCCGAAAATCACAAAATTACATTTCAGTGCATAAATCATACACACCAGAAGATCACTGCATAGCCATCAGTACATATGGACGCTGTCATTTCGTTATAATCAATGGAGGTTTTTTATTTATTAATTTTTCTTATAAATCAAACTTAACTGTATGTGTAATACATATTTATGTTTAAGTACACACAATACATATGCCCTCTCACAAACAAGAATCCACACACACATACACATATGCACACTAATTTCTCTGCCACTCACAAAAGACGGACAGATCCACACACAAGAACAATTATACTTTTTACAGTTTAAAAGTTCATAAACTAATTGCAAGAACTTTACTTCATAACAGCCCCAGAAAAAAGTTAAATTCTATAAATGCCACGAATAAATGGGTCAAAAGATGACGGACTTGTCTGATTGTTAACATTAGTGTAGCACATGTTGAACAGCGATTACAAATACTGTACTGCAGCAGCAACACAACACTGTAAAACTAATACCATAAAATGCTTTGTATAACACTTCATAAATTCTCATATACTGTACTCTTTTTAACATTAATATTGCAGTCATAGAAACTATAATATTTCCTAGCCTAAAACCTTGCATCTTATTGTTTCCTAAAATGAAAAACTCATTAAGGTATGTGGAACAGCTGGTGCCTTTCACACTGTCCCTCTTAAAAGTTATCATTTTTCGAAACACTCCCCCCCCCCCAAAAAAAAAAAAATTTAATAATAATTGTGAAACAACAAGTGTGCTGATAATTTAACAAAGTATTATAACTTGATTAAAATAATAACAGAGTAATCCAAAGAATTATACCTGGATATTTTCAAAATAAAATATTAATTCTGGGCACTATATTGTATGTCTGGGTTTTACATCAGTGTGAACAAACAATCCTCTCTACCCCTAATGGTCCACATACAGACAGGTGAGCAAGGTAGCAGAGATGTGGGACCTTTATCAAATATTTAAGTATTGAACAAGTCCATACTCACAGTGATTAAACAAAAGTGATTTTAATACTTGCTAAAGTAGGTAATAAATGTGCGCATTGGTTTGGCTGTTACACCAGTGAAGCAGTCACTTATATCTACACTATACAGTAATAAGAAAGTACAACTGTATCTAGATGAAATGCAGGTTTCTTAAGCAGGTGTGTAAACAAGGAGTTCCAGAGAACTGGTATGCAGGTCAAAGAAGAAACTTTACCATATAAAGTTGTTTTTTCAAAGCTTAAAATTACTTGGATACTTATATTTATTCTGAACAAAGGTATCACACCAGTGTTCAGATCCTCAACCCTTTGTAAAACACTAATACGCCTGAACCTTAAAGTAAAGCTGCAATATAATTGTGCCCAGTGCGAGAAACATTACTGGCAGGAGGAAAACACCACCACATTCTATTTTCTTACCCAAATACTTCTCTCTAAGCACTATTTCCATTGCTATCCAATCTACTGTATTGTTAAATAGTATTATTTTATTTTTATAAAAATAATTTGTCACAGTTCTCTACAGTTCAAGATCTTTCGTATTCTACTTTCCACTTTTCTGGGTGGACAATTATAAAGCTAAGATACAAACAAGTTTGCTTTATATAATAAAAATGAACCCTTTCCTGGTGGTGGCTCTTGCCTTTACCCACATGAACAACCACTTAGAGTAAACTGTCTTGAAAAGGCATTCCCATATAGTATTTTATCTTAAATAACACAGACCATTTTCTCTCTCTGAAAAGCCCTCTCTCATATTCTCTTGTCTCCATTGCATCAAGTTTAACTTTGTGTTTACTAGTTGAGACAACCATGATCTTATAAATTACCTGCATCTCTTTTCTGGTAGACTTGGTGCAAACAGCAGACAACTGCTACTTACAATAAAACCAATACTACAATCTCAGTTACATGACGGCCAAATGATGACTCATAATTTCTTGGCAAATACAGGTATTTTGAATACTGCAATTGGGTTTTAAAAACTAGAGAAAACATACGACAATCCCTAACATTAAACCTCTGATGCCATCAGTTATGAGCACTCAGACATTCTCATCCTAAGGTATTCAACAATATGGTTTATGGTACAACACTGGTATTGTCTAAACATCTAACTTTTGCTTGCAATGGCTATTTCTTTTTTCCTCTTACGGTAATCTTCTTTCTATACTGCTTAAGATCAGTTGTAGGCAGGTTTAATGGTGACACCAATACCAGTGACTATAAAAACATAACTGTAAAAGTCATTGTGATTACATGTGCAGTATAGACATTTGCAGAAAAATGAGTCTTGAATTAAACTTTGACCTTTCGTAAAAGGTCAACATCTGCCTTCTGCAAACATGAATTCATGCAATATTAGCTCTGCATAAATTTGGATTTATACAATGTCAAACTTACTCAAACATAGATTATGGTAATACAATATCTGTATCAAGTTCACATGAATGTAAAACTGCGAGTTTTGCCTCAAACCAATTAGTGTGAAACAGTGCAACTTGATATATTTAAATGGGTTATGATACACCCTTCTTTACATAATACATCCAAAATGTGCCACTTTGAGGCAAAAATAAAAATATACTTTCACAAGGGAATCCCGAAACTACTCAATAAAGATCTGTATATTTTGTTAAGTGCTCATTTATAAATATACCTTCAGATTCTTTAAATTTGTTAAGTGTGCTGGAGGGTACACAAATGGTCTTACAGTGAGCATTTGGCTGCTGGAGTGTGTGGATATAGCTGATAACAGACACTCTAGGGGAGAATTTTGTCATTCCCTCCCCATATTCATCTATGATAAAAGTATCAGTAATATAAGATGAAGACTAAGTGTTCAGCTTTTTACTAATGCTTCACCAGCCTGAACACTGGTGGCTCTGGGACAGGAAGAGAGGGGAGCTGTTAGACTGTGGCTTGCCTATAGCAACTATATCTCCCCGTCTACTTGCACATAATAATGACATTCACTGTCCTTGATAGATTTAAGAAAAGATTAGTAGTTTTAATTATGTTTACATAATAGTCCAAAAGGTGTCCTATGGAAGGACTGAGGTTACAAGTCTTGATGTTGTTCTGTCGGTTCAGGGAAACAGGTGGTGAGTGAGGCAAACCCAAGATAAGCCACTTTTCCACCTTTAACAAATTAGCTGTCCCCTGTGCGAGACAGACTGGTGTTGTAAATGCCCCTCCACAACTTGTCACTGTACATCTGCCCACAACATACTGTACATACATCCAGACAGCCAACAGCATTTCTAAAAATACTCTTTTCATACTTTAAAGAAGTGTTTAGTGGATACAAATACTTTGTAAGGTACAGTTGTAAATAATACAGTACAACTGTACATCAAAGACAATATCTTACATACCAAGCAATGACAGGCAGTCACCCCTGTGGTATAAACCAAATACAGTACCACGTATCCAACTATTTGGACATAACTACATGTCAACCATGTGAATGTGGGCAAGGTAACTCCAAGCCACCAGTCACAAGGTAACAGTCAACCATACAGGTGATATTAAGATAAGGAACTGATATAGGAGTCAGGCACATTGATATTACAAATGACAGCTCACCCTGGAGTTAACATGCCTGACAACTATACTCAGGATGATATACTAACTCTTAAATCATACTTAAGAATAATGAAAAAAAATTATCAATCAATAAGACCCGTTATTATTATTGAGAATAAAAGGGCAAAATACTTATTATCTACTGACCTGTGTGTGTTTTATGTAGCTGTAACAAATGTTTCACGTAGCAGAAACAACAGTTTTATGTAGCTATAACAAATGTTTTATGTAGCTATAACAAATTGTAACTAATTTATTCACACTAACTTGGTGCATTTATAATGTTCTTTATAAACAATTTGCTGGAAATATGACAGAAAATCACATCAAAATATATATATATATATATATATATATATATATATATATATATATATATATATATATATATATATATATATATATATATATATATATATATATATATATATATATATATATATATATATATATATATATATATATATATATATATATATATATATACTGTATATATAAACACAGTATATCAAGAAGAATCAATAAAAGCACCAGAGGTGCAGTTTAAACACTGTAACCTGTGAACTAACCAAGTGGTAAGATTTGAAAATATGAATTACCTAGTGTGTATATATATATATATATATATATATATATATATATATATATATATATATATATATATATATATATATATATATATATATATATATATATATATATATATATATATATATATATATATAAGTATATTTTTTAGTTAGCATTAAAAGTGCATAATCAGTTCAATTGTGGTGCAGTGCAGGAAAGTACTAGTGATGATCTTGTCTAACTTTGTGCTTATTTCATCATAGTTTTGTAGGTGAGTTAACATTATAATAACAAACAAAAGAAAACACAAGAGTTGTAAGTAATGAAAGACAGGTGTGTGAGGTTCTACCTTAAGCCTCACGTAAGATGAGGCTCTGTGTACCATAAATCTTTGTGAGAAGATATTTTACTATAGACACAATGTGTTATTGTTTGATTTAATATCCTATCTGCTGTTCTTATGCTTGTATAAACTTTCTTTAAGGGATTATGACAGTATTATGATGAAAAGTAAGTGTGTTAACAACAACTGAACATCAGGAAAATGAGGTCGCTTACAATTCTCAAGTCAACAAAGGTAAAGAATAATATTCTTATGCTAAATATAACCACACATCAGTAAAATTAACTCAAGAGCATCTGAGATGGATTTCTGTTTCAGGAACCAATGTCTTTGCAGGGACACTAAGACAAATGCTAGCACAAATATCTTAACTCTGCAGAGTTGCTACAAGTTTACCATCTTCCCTCACTGATAAATTACCTATAACAACAGTAACCACAAAATAACATCTAATTATAATTTAATATCCGTATTCTAACACAGTTTGTCATTACACCAGATGATAAACTTATGGAAGTTTCAGAAAATTAAAGATAAGTGTCCAAGCACCTGACTAACTTCTGCGGTTGTAAAGAAGGTTCAAATGATAGCCACAATAAGTGCATATTGTTGAGTGTGATGAGTACAGTATCCTTTAACATCACTGCCAGTATAAAACATCCCTACCCCTGATATGTACGGCAGTGGTATCATCCCACCTGTTACTTACCTAATTCATGACTTAAAAGTTCTTTCAAATTAAAAAGAAAGAACAAAATGGGGTCAACATTCACTAGTTGATTAAAAGAAGCACAAGTTGTATCTATACACTGATGAAGCATTTGCTGGATCCCATCAAGAGTTGTAGTAACTAAAACTTGTAAGGCACAAATAATACTTTAATTGCAAATGTTCAAAATACTTAATGCTACTTGAAACAATATTGTATTCAAAACAATATGCAGTTGCATGTTCATCTCTTAGCCTAAAAACAATATAGCACTGTAACTACATCCAAGTCAGTGCTAATCCTTCATTGTCTAGTGGGAACAGTCGAGTGCAGACCAACATTTTCCTAGAATCCCTCTACAGCTAGTGATAGAGAGTAGATAGTTAACATCACTTATACAAACATCTTTTGGAAGATCAATATTTCAAACTTAGAATCGTTGAATGATTTTGATATCTCTGACATGAAGTTTACGTGAAAGGAATATATTGCTATGGATTTGAAGTTGTAACAATATAAAAACTGACATAATTTTAAATAGTAATTTGTGAAATACTTTAATGTTCAGATATTTGTAACTACATAAATAGCAAAACTTCTAATATCAAATCCAAGGACTTAGTGATTAAAATATTTAGTATCAATGACCATGAGGTAGTGAAATTATCTTGATAAAACACTCCCCATGATAAAGGTCATGACAGGTTCATCATAACTGTGCTTCTGTCTGCCAGGATGTCCTAACACTGACCTGCCAAGGTGTTCTGGCACTCTGATCTGCCAGGGTGTTCTGACACTCTGACCCTCACTCTGGAAAATACTGTGTTGTAACACCTTTCTCATCACAATGATGACAACCATTTGCTTCGAGAGCAACAAATACTCCACATTCAAATATAATCCTTTTCCAAATAAATTACTGTATCTTTAAAATAATTATTAGAGAACACTATTGCTGAAGGTGATGTACTGTATGTCCTCACCAAATTATTTGACTGAAGACACGAGCTGGACAAAACTCTAGAATGATGATTATTGTTAGTGTGTGTGTGTGTGTGTGTGTTTATGTGTGTGTGTGTGTGTGTGTTTATGTGTGTGTGTGTGTGTGTGTGTGTGTGTGTGTGTGTGTGTGTGTTTGTGTGTGTGTGTGTGTTTATGTGTGTGTGTGTGTGTGTGTGTCTATATACCATATCTGTAAATGAGTATAAACATTTAAACTAGTACCTGTATTTACCTTTTTTGCCATATGAAGAATTCTAGAATGCTCAACGTATTTTTTCAAGCTGCGGTTTGGAAGTACAGGTTCAGGTGTGGGGTGAGCGTCTCTGGCACATGAATTTTTCTGTGCATGAATTTTTAAACGTACCTCATGTGAAGGGTTCCGTTGAACTTCATTAATTTCTAAACCTCGCGGGTCCATATGCGTGAAAATTTTTTGTAGGATATCGTAATTTTTAATTTGCGAATAAGTGGGGTATGCTTTGCGAATATAGAATAGGGGGTGTTAAAATATTAATTGAGGATAAGCGGGGTTGCGAATAACGAGGTATTCCTGTACGTACTAATCTTTTTAAAATAATCCTTTTCTTTCTTGGCCAATTCTTCCATTATACAACTGTTCATTATCAAATATATTTATATTAATAAAATTCACACATTTCATTAACAAAGAAATTTTGCATTTTGTACAGATTTGTAAAAATTCCAGTAAAAAATCTTAAGATTTTATAAAAACTTGCCGGTCTTTTCTACTACTTGGTGCAGTGCAGTGCAGTACAGTACTGGCCATCACTGTAGTGCCCCAAGATGAGCATCCTGAGCTAATGGCTTACATTAAGTCGTGTTAATGACACAAGTCGGAATCCCTTTGCTCTCCTATGAGTTTCTTGCCACAAAGTACTGTACTGAAGTATAGAATATCCGGGAACAAAATTTATTTCTACTGGCTATGGAGTTTTTGTTGCTTTCACTAAATCATTACTTGTTTTGGCTATATTATATTATATCTATAGAAATCTATGTTATGTGTGAGACTTTCAGTGTCTAATACCATCTGAGAAACAATACTCATCCCCAAGAGAAGCTTTGCTAATGTAGTTACTAAAATTTGATCTGTTTATTGATTATTTATGAGGGTTTGATATTATTAGGTAAATAATTAACAAATAACTTTGAAAATCGCTTGAAAGTGGAGAAGAAACAGGTGTTGGAAGAGCCGATCTGCCCTCGAGAGTTTCCCTATTCGTTGCTTTGTGTTGCAGGTGCTCCCTGTGTCATGTTGGACCCACCCTGGGGCACGTTAGGTGTGGTGGATGCAGCTTGTGTGGGGTTAGACGTCGTTGCTACGGGTTGGACAATGGAGGACATTTTAAACCGGGCACTTTCTCTCTTCTGGCGGTGGATTTCCTCAGTCCGTAGAGTGATGCCAAAGATGTCTTCATGATAACGATTCTCATCCTAAAAGAAAGAACAGTTTTATTAGACAATTTTCTTCATGCACACACGCACGCACATGCATGCACTCACACACACACACACATGCACGCTTACACGCACACACACACTCTATGACATTGTCAACATAAATCTGGTGAAGGCTACATTTTCCTCTCAACAAAAAGAACCTTTCAGGACCACACAAAACTTATAATCACACACAAGTAGATAAAGGATAATGAAATGAGTTCTAACCATCTGTCCTTAAGCAGAACTCAAAAACTACTTCAACAATCCCCAAAAATTAGGTGCCTGTATAGAAATTAGTAGATGGGTAAGGAGGTAACTTATACCTGTACTTTGTATGTATATTACGTATCTGCACTGTATATATACATGCAGAATTGTAGACCCACACTGTTTGTACATACAGTATACTGAATCAATATAAATGTGTCTGGTTTTACTGAACAAAATTTAATTGAACTGAAGAGAGAGAAAAGAGAAGGGATAGAGAGACACTAGAAGTCCCAGCACAGTTCTTACCCTCATCTGTAACATGAAGTTCTCCACCTCTTGGTCTGAGAAGCGGCCATGCTCCTGGACAATGGTCTTCAACTTCTGATAGACACACTCTGCCATCGTACAGTCCCCACACACATAGAAGTGACCCTTTTCAAGCACCACTTGCTTGTAAACCTCTGCTCCAACTCCTACTAACATATCTTGGACGTAAGTCTGGAGAATAAATACATCACAAATTGCATGAACAGAAGATATTTTGTAATATAAGCAGAATTTCAAGCTGTAATTTTACAACAATCCATCCCATGTCAAATACAGTACAGTATAAAGCAAGAAAAAATTTCCTTAACCCTTAATGGCAGGTAAGGCTCCACAAATCTGCCCCAAGTGGTCAAAAATGGAATGGTAGGAATATAAAACATCCACTGATGTTGGTTGCTGTCCTTACAGCTAACATTCAGTAATGTTAATTGGCCATTGTCCTTACAGCTAACATCCATTGATGTTGGCTGCTGTTTAAGGGTTAAAATATGGAACATGGTATCAAAAGTTCACAAAATACTGTCTTCTTTTTATCTTTTTGAGTAACAACACTTTACACTTTGTATACTGTTCTACCAACCATGGCACAGTAGCCAGGTTTCAGCACCTGTGGGTTTTTATGGCCACCATAGGAAGTTTCTAGCCCAGTTTAATGGGAATTTTCACTTGATCAGATCTATCAAGTATTTTATCTTACTCATTTCCTTTTATATAGTCCTCAAACAACAACTTATTATCATCTACCACACCCAGGCCCTCTTTCTTCTCTGACCTCTTTTTATCAATTTGCTTCTATCCATCCTTCATATTATATACCCGGTAATAATGCTCCATGGCTTTCTACTGCCCTACCAATATGATAGTTATCACTTAACACTCTTAGGACCAAGGGCTAGGAAGGGAGCCACACCCCTCGTGGTCTGAGTCTGGTCACCTGACTCACCACTTTCTGAATTACTATTGCTCAAAAGTGTCGATTCTTTTATTGATTAAATATTTGCTAAATACGGTAAAACCTCGCTATTGAGGACCCCTCTTAAGCCGTACAAAATTATTTGCAACCCCCCCCCCCAAAAAAAATAGGACATAATTTGTTTTAAGATGACATGCTGTAGGCTGATGTAATATATATATTTCTGTATTATTATTGAAAAATTAGACAATAACCATGACCGCTAAGAAAGTGTTTGGTATCTGTAAGGGTGGTGGGAAGGTTAAGCCTAAAACCTTATCAGTGAACGAAAAGTTAAAGGGGATTGAAAAGCTAGAAAAACGTGCTGGTCACTCGCAAATATGCGCTGAATATGGAATTTCAAAGCACCCAGACTGAGAGTGACTGCAAGCCTCTTGCAGTCAGAGGCATGTCCAGCTGGATCTGCCTTCCATTTTTGGGGGTAAGTGTACAGTACTTTGTGTACATTACTTTTTAAAAATTAAATTTGATTAAAAAAGCCATTTTTTTTCTAAAAAAAAAAGTTTTTGTGATATAGTCCAGAATGCGACGTCTAGCTTTATACCTAGGTATGTAAATGTCTAGCATTAACTCGCCAGGCCAACATACAGGCAATTAAAACATCTAATAATTACTTAAATACGTAATATTAGGACACGTCGCTACCCGGCAATTGCAATTCTCAAAACCCCCTCCCACACCCTCCATCACACGCATTGCTAAGTACTCTACCCTATATAACATACACTCTGTACATATTTTAAACCTTGAGCTGTACATTATAGGACTTAAGGTATGTCTCTCAGGGGTCACTACCCCAAACCCCTTATTTCCCATTAGACACTGCCCTTGCCAACCACAGTTTTGCCAACTGAGGGAAAATTCTACAACATTACTCCAAGGTACACAAGTGATTACTGGAGAGGGATAAAAAGTGAATTAAAAAAATTATTACTACTGATCTGTCTTCTCTATTAGGATAAACAAAAATATATACCTGTATATATATTTTGATAATGGTGACTCCACTGGTGAGTGGCAGAGCATTTGCACCAGACATGAAAAGGATCACAAGTTTGATGCCCAGTAAGAGGGGAAATTGGGTTCTCTTCTTGTATAAAAACTTTTGCAGACTCTGCATAAATTACTGCACACTTGGTTGCACTTGTCAATGGTAAAACAATTCTACAGCACACTCACACACTGTCATTAAACTGGGTAACTCACCCAAGAACTGGAATCAACAACTATCTGGCTGCCCTCTGTCTGTCACAGTACAAAACTTTTACTTTACTTTCATCCTCTTCACCACTGATCGGCTCGTTAGCTGCTTGGGCGATCGGTCACATCTCTGTTACTTTTAGGTTTGTAAGACTGAAAAAAATTGCTAATGGTCTTAATGTTACCTTGGGAATGTTGGGCTCCCGAGAGAGGGACAAGTAAGTCTGTGTAAGGGCGCCTGATCGCTTCATGGCTTCCTTTTCTTCAGCATACAGATCAAGAGCCTTCGTTCGACATCCAAAGAAAAGTGTCATTTGACCTGGTTTTCCTGCAAAATAAATTCCTGGTCAATATACTGAAGGATATTTCTCCACGGTTATAAAATGTAACAAAGAAATTTTTACAGAAAAATATGTAATGTTACTGAAGTAAGTGTTCAGAAATACTGCCACTTAAAGCATTTACAACACAATAAATATTAAAAAAAAAATTGAGAAGTTTCTACAAACAATGTCAATAGAAAACAGAAATGTAAAAAAGTATACAGAACATTTATTTAAAAAAAAAATAATCTAGGGCTGGTATGGGACACCTTACATGATCCAGGATATCGTAATTTCTTCACCAGAGGACAGACACAACCATCACACAAGCATAAGAGTGGTGACAATTTAGCAGAAGTTATACATTTATCTTTTTTTTTTATCTTTTATCCTCTTCGCTACTGATCGGCTCATTAGCCACTTAGGGAGTCGGTAACGTCACTGTATACTGGTGTTAAAATAGTGTTTGATCTGCCAGTTACCTTTAAGAAACTGATTCAGTATCAGTTCTTAAGAGCAGATTCAAATCAACTTTTGCTCGAGAATAAGGCAACCAATTCTACCAAATTGTTATAAATATATTCCATGTCTCAATACTGAAGAAAGTCTGTGAAATAATTTAAGTTGAAATATACCATAATAAAGAATATGAATTTGAATTTGAAACAGTTCTCACACTTGTAGCCTTCACCACTATACTGTAGTTAATGACTTACAACTCAAAGATATATATGCTGATAACCACAAGGAAAGAAGAAAACACGAAGTTCCCAAGCGCTTTCGTGTAATTCACATCTTCAGGGGTGAGTACAGACTAATGTGTGTTCATACATTCATTATTATTCTGCCCACCATAATAGAGTCAAACAGTCAGTATTTTCATCAATGTTTTTACGTGCTTTGAGAATTTGCAGCCCGGAATTCATTGATGAGGAATATAAATATATCTATAATATTGGCTTGAACCTTAAGTACCCTAGATCTTTCATAGACAAATACCTTAACATTACTAAGAAATCTTTTTATAGAACCGATCCCAAGCCCACCCATGACCATAAGAACCTCTTAGTATTACCATTTTACAAAAATTTCTCTCAAATTCCTTTACAACTAAAAACCTGGAACATCAATGTGGCATTTAAAAACTCGTGCACCGTTAAACAAATGTTAATCAAGAACTCCAACAATACAAGTGGCTGCATTTACAAGGTTCCTTGCAAGGAATGTAATATGTTTTACTTAGGCCAGACAGGTAAAGATCTTGTAGCTAGACTTAAACAACATAAATATAGTGATAGGACAGGCCAGGAATCCAATGCTCTGTTTGTTCATTTGAGGGATAATAAGCATTGCATTGACTGGGATAATGCCTCCTCAATATTACCTTGTAATTCAATTGACAGTAGGAACATTATAGAATCTAGTCTCATTAAACATACCAAATCAGTCAACATGAATTTGAGTAATGGTATGTACAAACTGGATAATTTTGTAATTAAGAAGATTTGTAACCAGGTGGGAAAGTTGGGTCAGCCTACCCTCTGACCTGACTACCGACTGCTGCGGTGCTTTTTGAAGATTAGTAGGGTCATTACCTAATACCTGACCATTGTGGACTTGATCTCACCCTCCTCTGTATATATACCTTGTTTTGTACTTCTCCTTAGTCTGTACTCACCCCTGAAGATGTGAATTACACGAAAGCGCTTGGGAACTTCGTGTTTTCTTCTTTCCTTGTGGTTATCAGCATATACCTGGATCATGTGCACCCACAGTGATTTACTTGCACATATATATATATATATATATATATATATATATATATATATATATATATATATATATATATATATATATATATATATATATATATATATATATATATATTATATATATATATATATATATATATATATATATATATATATATATACAGTATATACAGTATATATTCAAATGAGATTTAGTGAAGTGAGGACAGTCTTACCAGCCATGTCTTTGTGTGTCCCCAGCATGATGACACTTCTCATACTCAATCCATTTCACCTTACAGTATTCATTAAGTTCCATTACTTACATCACTTCACACATAAAAAAAGTGGAAACTTAAACATTTGAATAACAGGAGATTGGACTTCCTGCCATAGAAGACATCTCACCTGTCTGGTGTTGCATCATATAATTGCGGTGGTGCCAGAAACCTCTGAAAGGTGCCACTCCTGTGCCTGGCCCAACCAGGATAACTGGAAGACTTGGGTCCTGGGGCATGTGGAAACTAGATGCCCTGAAATATAAAAGGATAGTGTAAAAAAATTACCTTGTGAAGAATGAATCTCATGAATGTTAGCAGACACACAGACCAAAGTGTTGCCACCAAAGATAGGCAAGTCCCTAACTACACAATACTAGGTAGTCCAACAAAGTACAGCAATAAGGAACAAACCAACTGATCAAATGACTATCAAGCTATTAAGTATTGATATATTAATTAGAAATAAAGATAGAGTTCAAATATAGAGATAAAGAGCTTAAGAGAGCAGTCAGGGACAAGAAATAATTTTTTAACTCGTCTGATATTATGTTTGGATAAATCCACAGCCGAGGTTAATTATAATCCCTAAAAATTTTTGTCTGTTTTCTAGACTCTGATGATGGAAAATGATTTTCCAAAACATCAGTAATTAAAGAAACCCAACTTAGTCAGGATGTTTGGGTTTTCTCTGGTTCTCTTCGTTATATATATATATATATATATATATATATATATACAGTATTACCCCGCCTAACGCGGTTTCACTTAACGCGTTTTATCATATACGCGGTGCCTCGCCAGAGCTGAACTTTCACTTAACACGGATTTTTTCCACATATACGCGGTGAGTGTCCGGCTCGAGACGCTATTTTTAGATTTGCCCCACCCGCCACCCTGCCTGACTGCCTGTTTTAGCTCATAAAATTCATACAAATTGCCCGGTCAGAATATAATTTACATTGCTGGAATTCTTATAATTTGGTGATCATTTTGAATATAAACATCATATATTTTGCATTAGACATACAAATTTTAGATAAAATTTTTCTCAGAGTAACTATATATATTTATCTTTTGTGCAAAAATATAAGCATTTATTCAAACCATTACAAAAGGAATCCAGCAATGTCAATTATATTATCTAACACAATCTGAGAATTATTATTTAATACTAAATGTTAAAAACTCTTGAAGGGAGGATTGGTGGGGGGGTGGGAGGTGGGACCCCAGCCTTGCGGTTGGAGAGGCAAGGTGGGGTACTTTGATTGACAGATAGTGTCCTGAAGATTATATTTTTTTTTATTAACTGAAGATATTTGTTTTAGCTCATAAAATTCATACAAATTACCCGGTCAGAATATAATTTACATTGCTGGAATTCTTATAATTTGGTGAACATTTTGACTATAAACATCATATATTTTGCATTAAACATACAAATTTTAGATAAATTTTTTTCTCTAGGTAACTATGTTATCTTTTGTGCAAAATATATGACATTTATATTCAAAATATTCCTGGTCTTACAAGGAATCCAGCAATGTCAATTGTATTATCCTAACTTTAGTTTGAGGTATTACTTATTAAAATTTAGTGGTTTTCCCCCAAAAATTTCTCAGAGAGGGAAGAGCCGGCAGTGTAGTGTGAGAGGGGGTGGGAGTTGAGTCCATTATTTGAATGGACATTAACTTGGCGACTGTATTTCTCTATTTCTCTTAAGTATTAATTGTGTGCATGTACCATCATAAAATTAAGATGTTATTTTTACTACAACATAGGTATGTGCCTTCAAAAGTGGAGTTTGGGGGTCGGGCCGGTTTCTATTGGAATTAATCCCATATGTTCTGTTGTTCACTTAACGCGGATTTCACTTAACACGCAGGACCCTCTGGGTTCTATTGACCTAGTTAAGTGAAATACAACTATATTGTATATATATATATATATATATATATATATATATATATATATATATATATATATATATATATATATATATATATATATATATATATATATATATATATATATATATATACAGTATATATATATATATATATATATATATATATATATATATATATATATATATATATATATATATATATATATATATATATATATATATATATATAAAATAAAGCATTTTATATCTAGGAGTGATTTATTCACAATCCTCAGACTTTTTTCCATACAAACCTTTCAAAAATTTAACAAACCTCTCTCCATTCCCTGTGTGTAGAAATTTGTCTTTATTATTCAGAATAGATATATTCCAAACAAACTGGCAAGGCACAGGATCACCATGACTCGCAACACACGATACTAAGTGACCAACTAACTAAGCTTCACCCATATTTACTTAATAAATATTACAGTTCACCAAGGTTTAGTTGCTGGCTGCTAAGGATACCAAAAATGGGTGTAGACTAGTTAGTTGGTCAACTGTGAATGATGTCAATACCATACAGTGGCCTTTCAACAGCGTCACAAGACATTCTCTTCACTGTTGAAACAGCCCCAAACCATCTTTTTACCCACCTCTCATGACACACACACAAGCTTCACTCCTTTAGCTAATACATGTACGTACTGTACTGTATTCCAATTTTATATTCTTCAATTTACAAAAATATTCTCAAGAAAAACCAATAACAACAAACATATCATCTCTCACAGTGTGACAATATTAAAGCTATGGATTAGACAAGTCACTGATGATGATTGAAACAAAAGTGTACTATTAAAAACATTGTACAAGAGGCATTAACATCTTCCTCAACTGGTGAAGAGTTATTTACTGGAGTGTATTTTGACTAAACACACTTTTAACTCACCTTCTAACAAAGAGTTGAACAGTGTCACCTGGGGACACTTCCTTCAAGAAGTTAGAGCACACACCAAAATGAAGTGGTCCAAGTCCACCTGTAAAACAATTGTGGACTGTCAGTTATCTCTGGGAAGCACTGGAGCACCATGTCAATTATAGAATTTCTGATATACTTTAAGTCATTCCTGTGGCAGAGAAATGACAAATCCCTGAATATGTGCCATCAATTAATGGGTTGATGATCAAGAGCATAATATTTGGCAAGTCTCTCTACCTGTAATTATATGCCACGATGGTATACTTCAGGTCACTAAGGAAAAATTTCAAAATCTTATCCGAAAGGACTGATCAAGATGACATCCTTGGGTCACAGAGGTCCCTTACACCCTTAAATATCGGCAAAATGTGACTTATGGCAACCAATTAGTGATATAACTAGAGATGTGTCATGCCGACCTGCCTGCTAGAGGAATGGTCATGTTGTATAATTGGACAGTAGTAAAACTGGATACAGTATTTATTTCTTGAACCCAACAATTGTACTAGAATGTGTTTCACAATATTTGGGATTAAAAAATAAATAAATTTACAGCTGATTCGCCAGGCTAGAAGATGAAGGTGGCAATGCGTGTGGTGGAAGGTGCAGGAGGAGGATTTGAGAATTGCAATTAAATGCCAGGTTGTACTGCGCACATCATTGTCATCCTTAATAGCTCTTTTAATTTGTTAAGTCATGCTTGATGTTTCACCATTCTCCCCACTCTCGATTTGGTCAATGAAAAACCCAACCCAATGCCTAGCTTACTCTGCCCTCTACCTATCAAGCTACATACTGTCCAGGGAGTCTGGTGGCAGCGACCTTAAAATTAAGAGTAGAGTTAAGTTATCCCCTTAGAATTAGTGACCCCAGAATCGGGCAGTATAAGGTAGCGACGTGTCCTCCTAATATTACGTATTTAAGTAATTATTAGATGTTTTAACTGCCTGTATATTGGCCTGGCGAGTTAATGCAAGGCATATACTGTACATACGTAAGTATAAAGCTAGACATCGCATTCTGGATTGAACAAAAATAATAAGTTCCTTTGTTATTCTTTACATTATTGCAAAAATACTGTTCAATCTACACATACAAAAGAGCATTTGAGTATATTAGTGTTCTCCTATACCCCTCCAAAGAGAATGAGCTGCATATACAATAAAAAATACAGTATTCAAATGAGTTTAGTGAATATACTGTATTGTATAAAGATTTCCCTGCACAAAATGTAAATATCTAATGTCAAGCATTATATAACAGATCCTTAAAAAAGACATGGTTCACATTACAGTATTTATCAAATAAGTCACCTACTACTGTATCTCCATAATGCCTCATATAAATGTACATTATGTATGCAACATCTGTGGTAAGTTATAAATCAGAATCCATAATATAGAGCAAGTTTACACATCATGTTCTGTGGGGAACATACAAAATTAAAAAAAAAACATTACTGATAAGTAAGTTTCAAATCAACCTACTACTACTGGAGATAGGGTTAAAGAAACAATGTATATACTGTATCTACCAAGCCTCATTAACAGACAGAGCCCTCTGCCATATCCTCTGTTTTGTCATGGTGGGAAATGATAATAATTTCAAATACTTGTACACGACGTTTCCTTCCATATATAATACAGTACATACAGAAATAGGGTGGCCACTGAACCACTGTATGTCATTACCAAGGATTTTAGGATATTACTAATGCTTTATATGATATCCAAAGTAAATGTTTATGTATGTACTGTATGTACTATGTGAGCTCTTATTTAATAAATTCAAAACAAATATTGAGTGTACTGTACTGTATTTACATTTTCTTTGTTTTTACCCTTGAAAGCCTTTTCCCACTATGCTGCACTAGGCCATTATGCTGCACTGTGGCCACTGTATTGTAAAATGATTTAAGCGACCTATGATTAAACCACAACTTACTTTGTGTGTTATATTGGACGACAGCAACAGTGACATGAATCTCTTCTGGGTGAGCATCTGGGGATGAACTGATGGAGTAGAACCTTGGTCCCATGAGGGGCAATTGTGTTAGCATCAGTCCAGCATCCACCACCACACTTGGGAACTCCTCAAGTACCTCCTTCATGTGAGGGTATCTCAGTTGTTTCCAATCCTCATACTCATGAGGATCCTACACCAAGGAAGAAAAAGACAAACATTTGTAGTAGCAAAGTGTTTGGTCGATATAATCCCTAACTAACTAAAGCTTTCTCTGTCCCTCACTTATTTTCACCATCTTTATTTTTCTTATTCCATGAATTACCACATCACCAGGTATCCTCAGCAGACTATCTATATTTTTTGTAACCTTAAAAAAAAACAAAGATATACTGTGCATGAAGGGTAATGGAAAACAAAAGAACAAACAGTCTATCTAGTCTCGTTTACAAGTGGATGGTTCTAGGAAACTTGGCATTGGATACATACATACTTCCTCCATGACAATTGTGTGTGTACTGAGGTGTAACTAGGAGTATGGGAGTGGTGTAGGGGGACCTAGAGACCTATGGGACACAGTATATACCGGTAAGTGTGTCACTTGGCGCACAATTTTAATAATTAACTCCTAAGTTTTGGCAGCCTGCTGCCATGTCACAGCCACTCTACTGGCTTTTTGCAGCTTTAAAGTTATATTCCTTGCTATAGCCAAAGGAAGGCTATAGGTAGAAGGATAAATCGTGGCAAAATTCACCTCCGGGACTATTATAGGGTATTGGCGAGTGGGGTTAAAACCGAGATAAGGAAAGCAAAGAGGAATAATGAGGTAAGGATAGCAAGGGAGGCGAAGACAAACCCCAAAGGATTCTACCAAATGTATCAAACTAAAACACGAGAAAAGATTGGACCAATACGGTCAGACTTAAGCTCACTGATAACGACGGAGAAATGAGCAATAATTTGAATAAATATTTTTCAACAGTTTTCACCACCGAAAATTTAAACATGATACCCGAGGCACCGACTCTATTCAGAGATATTGAAGAAAACAAATTAAGTGAGATAGTAGTGACTAGTAACGATGTTAGTAAGCAAATAGACAAACTAAAGCCTAATAAGTCACCTGGTCCCGATGAGATATTTGCCAGAGTATTAAAGGAATGTAAGGAAGAGCTTAGTATGCCCTTAGCAAAGTTGTTTAACATGTCATTACAAACAGGTGTAGTACCAGAATCCTGGGGGATAGCGAATGTAATACCGATTTTCAAGAAGGGGGATAGATCACTATCCTCTAACTACCGCCCAATCAGTCTAACATCAATAGTAGGCAAATTACTGGAAGCAATCATTTCAAACTCTATTCGAAATCACCTGGAGAAGCACCAATTGATCAATGATTCCCAGCATGGCTTCACAAGCGGACGTTCTTGCTAACTAATCTATTAACATTCTTTTCATCAGTTTTCGAATCGGTGGACGAAGGGCACAATTATGATGTGGTATATCTCGACTTTAGCAAAACCTTCGACAGAGTCCCCCACGAAGACTAATTAGAAAGGTAGAAGCTCATGGCATCAAAGGTGACAACCTTAAATGGATTAGGGCGTGGTTACAGGACAGAAACAGCGAGTGAGCATTAACGGCACTAAGTCCCATTGGACAACGTCACAAGTGGGTTCCCCAAGGCTCAGTACTTGGACCATTATTATTTATTATATACATAAACGACATAGATATCGGCATTGACAGCAACATAAGTAAATTTGCTGATGACACTAAAATAGGGCGTGTTATCAAATCTGGCGAGGACTCGGCAAAACTACAGGAAGATCTAAACAAATTTTCGAATGGTCTGAAAAATGGCAGATGAAATTCAACGTCGACAAATGTAAAGTACTCAGTATAGGAGATGTAAACAGGAAACCAGATACCAGATGAACAACGATGCCATAGAGAAATCCGACTGCGAGAGAGATTTAGGAGTAATGATAAGTAGGAACCTTAAGCCAAGTAAACAATGTGTTTTTGCTCGTAACAAGGCTAATAAAGTACTTGGGTTCATACAAAGGAGTGTTAGTTACAAGACTAGCGAGGTCATCCTAAAACTGTATCTTGCTCTTGTGAGACCACACCTGGATTACGCAGTTCAGTTCTGGTCACCGTATTACAGAATGGATATAGAATCCTTGGAAAGAATTCAGAGGAGAATGACAAGACTAATCCGGGCATTAGGAACCTTGAGTATAGAGACAGGTTAAAGCATCTTAATTTGCACTCCCTTGAGATGTGAGGGGCGACCTGATAGAGGTGTATAAAGTGGAAGGCAGGGGGCTAAACAAAGGGGACATTACAAAGGTACTCAAACTATCAACCCAGGAACGAACTTCGTAACAATGGTTTTAAATTAGACAAATTTAGATTTAGGCGTGAAATAGGTAAACACTGGTTTGGAAACAGAGTAGTGGATGAATGGAACAAGTTACCAAATATCATCATTAACTCGAATACGCTGAATTGCTTCAAACATAGGTTGGATGCTCATATGAGCAATAGGGGTTGGGTGTAAACGGGTCTGCCCAGTATGGGTCAATAGGCCCGCTGCAGTTTCCTCCATTCTTGTGTTCTTGTGTGTGGACAGGGCAACTGCAATTATTCAAGTCTCTCTGTGTAAGTGTCTCAGTGGCACCATCAGTTTGGTAGTTTTCAATTACAGTAATTAGCAATCTATGGCATATCTTGGAAGCCAAGTAGAATAACAGTGTTTCATGTATGGTAGTTCTGCACCTTTGAGAAGTCCCACTTGAGATGGAGAATGAAGGTACACAGAGATTCTTTGATATTAATTCATTTACAGTACAACCAAGGCATTATAACTATGCCTCTACCTTAACCAGCTGTTCTAGATATGTGCACTGTTCACTGCCATACACATATTCTACATTAACCAAATATAGTAAAAGGCTGTAAATAACATTCATATATTTCCCGATACAATATAGCCAAGTCAGCAGGCCCATCCTTTGGGGGAACAGGGGCGACCGCCCCGGGCCCCACGGGGCCCAGCACTGGACCCAGTGACCTCGGACACATTACCTGTTGATTGGTTAATCTGACCTGACGGCTTACGCCACCATCGCAACCGTGACCTTACCATCCATAGCGACAGTCCCATGGGGGTTGGTGGGGGTGGGTTCCTCTGACCGCATAATCTGACACTAGTGTGGGGCCCTGCAGTGACTGAGTTGCCCCGGGCCCCACACCCTCCTAGGGATGGCCCTGCAAGTCAGTATTACTTCACTCTTACCGTAGCGAGTTGTTCCAGACGAGTGCGTTGGTCATTGTCACAAGCATATTCTGCCAGCACATGAAGGAAGTTGGGTGTAGGTGGTGTGGTAATGTCTAAGTATCGTGTGACCAGCTCCCGCACTGTTGCAGTTGGAAGACGCTCATGTGGCTCCCAGGTCTGTGTTACTCCTGTAAGAGGTGGTGGCAAAAGAAAATAAGGAAAATATAAATCTTCTAATCTGAAAGAAGAGTTGTGCACCAAGTAATGTTTCCTTAAAGGATAAAAACTAAAGATTAACCATTTTAATTTTGTTCTTCCTTAAAATTACTTGAGAGAAACACAAAATACTAAAAAGAATGAGAGTCTACCCAGATGCACCTCAGCCCATCTCCTAGAATAAACAAAACATTGTTTTTTTGTAGTATTATGTTAAAACAAACACTCATAAATCAACACAGCTAAAATTATGGGACGTGAAATGGTCTGTTTACAGTGGCGTTTCTAGCCTTCGGAAAGTGGGGGGACCACTTTGAGGCCAAGGTAAATGTTGGGGGGGGGGGCAACGACCTATCCGTCGTAGCATAATATAGAAGCGTGTTAGCGTGCTTCTCTAGTTAAATATTATTTGCGTCATTATTACAATGAATTATAAATTATGATAACTTCAGTCATTTGCAAATACGTACAGTACTTACTGATCAGTGATCCCTGATCACAGGTAAACAATTGCGGAATATGCGTGTAGGTTACCCTATCACTGGTGACTTGGTGAGATGCAACTGACACTCGGTTTCTTATTTTAATGCAATTCTTGTACCTTATTTCATTAATATAGATCATTTTTTAACTATAGGAGTATGGAGTAACCAGTCAATCATTCAGTTCAAGTCAATCAAGTGGCTGTAGTTGAGCTGGGCTGATTTGCTGAACAGTGTAAGGTAAATCAGTACAGTCCATCAGTTATATCATTGCAAAATGTAGGCCTAAAGCATTCTCATGACATATTAATTATATATTCTTATGACATAATATGTCATAAGAATGCTTTAGGCCTACATTTTGCAATGATATAACTGATGGACTGTACTGATTTACCGTATACTGAACAGCTCAGCTCAACTACAGCCACTTGAACTGAATGATTGAGATTGACTGATTTTAATATTACTCCTATAAATAAAAAATTACTCACATGTTCTCTCTAAACAGACCTCACTTAGCAAGTAGAAAAACCCACAGTGGCATTGCGGCAGACGAAATATTTCTTTTGGGTAGTTTCGGCGACAAATTCGACAATTACTGTCAGTCTGTCACCCTCCTCAGTGGAAATACAGAGTGGTTATGTTCATCACCGACAAGGCAGTTTGTTTATATACACTGTGATGTAACCCCACCCCACATATCTGCACCCTCCCAATTCCTGCCCTATGGGCCTCGCCTCACCTCACCTCACCTCAGTGATCTCACCTCACCCATGCCTGCATCTGGTGTGCGGCACGCCCATTGCCTGTGTCACTTGACTCACTTCCTGGTTTTGGGAATGTTTTTGGAATTACAATTTTGAGAATAAAAAGTGGGGGGGGGGTGGGTGGGCCAACCCAGGAGCCAGCCCAAAATCTGGGGGGGCCATGGCCCCCCCTGGCCCCCCCATAGAATCGCACCTGTCTGTTTACTAGCGATCAGCTGATGAGAAGATGGGGGTGGGGGAGGGAAAGGTGAAGTGATATGTTTGACAGTTGATGCCAAAGTCTAGTGCTTATTTATTTATCTGTCCTCAAGAGTGACTACGTTTTTCTCTTATAAAATGTCACTGAACTAACCTGGGATAATATAATTAACATTGCTGGAATTCTTATAAGATAGTGATTAGTTTGAATATATACATGCAATTGTTCGTATTAGACATACAAATTTTAGTTCTAACTAATTTTATTACAAAGGGCTAAAATTGTTATCTCTTGTGCAAAATATATAACGTTTATATTCAAATTATTTGCCGTCTTGCAAGGATTCTAGCAATGCAAATTATATTCTCCTACCTTTAATCTGTGATATTATACAAGATAAAAACTTAAAGCCTATAACCACCAAACCCTGGCTGGAAACATGGGGGGACGGAGGGAGGGAAGGAGGGAAGGAGGGAAGGAGGGGAGGGAGGGGAGGGGGGGAGAGAGAAGGGAAGTGACAGTGACACGTTTGACAGTTGCGCCAAAGGTCTAGTGAAGTATCTATTTGTTTATTTATGTCCTTCAGATTGAGTTTTTGTGTTTTGCATATAAAATGTAACAGAAGTAACCAGGGAGAATAAAATTTACATTGGTGGAATTCTTGTAAGATAGTGATTAATTTGAATATAATCATGCTACAGTTTGCACTAGAAAAATTTTTTTGTAATCATTTAGAACATTAATTTGCATACATGTACAGTACAGCTCTGCCCTTAGGACAGTGTAGCGTGCTCAGAGAAAATTAGGCGTGAAATTTAAATGACTTGTGCAGAATAGGAAAGATTCGCTTTAAATTAAAACAGTCCTTAATTGTGGGTGTCGCTTTAAATCAATAGTCTTAAATTGAATCGCTTTAAATCGACGTTCTACTGTATTAGCCAAATTAAAAATAAAAAGTAGTGTCCCCATAATGAAGTGGCTAGCAGATATAGTCTACTAAATGTGGTTGGTGTGTGTGTGTGTTGTGGTCACACACATAAATTCAGCTTATCCTTATACTGTATCATTTTGTGGGTCCAAGGAAAATGTTTTTTTAATGTCTGATGAAAGAATTACCTGGTAGGCCGGTGAATGCTGAGCTTAATCTTGATATTTATCTTCCTGGGTCAAGTATTAGTACAGGAGGAAATAAGAGCTGCTAGAGGAAGCCTATAATATTTGTTAGGGTCACACTGGTCAACACCCTTCTCACATCTGATCCAAGCAAGAACTGAACTCAGATCACAGTGGTGTGAAGCAAGCATGTCACTCCTGTACTACAAACATTCCTATGTAAAATGCCAGTAATGAATCATGACATAGGATTTATTTTCAACATAAAAATCTATTTGATCCATTTTTTCTACTCCTGCAGGACCTTTCCTTCTGTACTGCTGTTAAGTACCAACAGTTCACACAATAACAAGTACACTGCTACATCTTGGGTGTCGGTTCCCTCCTTCACTCCTCCCCTCCATTTCCTTGGTTTTCCTCTTCCCCTCCTACCATCTACCACTGAATTAAACATTCTCTTACAGTGTCCCTGCCACCTTAGTAAACTCTGATAACTCAATGCCAATTCCTTCATTTCCAAATTTCCTCATAATTTCTGCAGAGAACAAGAAATACGACAAAGAAATTTTTGTAAATACTCTATTGTTTATATGTACTGCAAATTGCAAAGGGTTAACAACTTCAGTGTACTGTATATATACTGTATATGCAGAAGCTTATTTGAATTTTCTTTTAATAAATGGCGAGTTTTGACTTACTCTCGGCATGTCTAACAAAACACTATGCTGTTCTTTGGCCCATCAGTAGTGGATGTAAAACTAATGGTGGTTTGTTTAGGCAAATTTGAGTTCAATTCTGGTAATCCTTACTACTGTAGTACTGTATCTTGTCAACAGTACTGTATATACAATACATGAAAGTGGTATTTTATAGTACAGGGATATCCTAGACAGCACCTAAGGTGCTGAGGAATTTTTGGGAAGGACATATTGTTGATGGGCAACAGGGCTAAATCAAATAGGTTTTTGAGTGTTTACTGTGGAAGAATAATACCATTACAGCAGGTAAAAGTGAATAAAGGGAGAGTTTTTACAGTATTTGCTCTTGAGTGCGTCTGTCGTCATTATACAGTGGCAGGGAAAAACTTGAAAAGGTGAAGAAAGACTAAAATTTCCTAAATAATTTTGGCATGTACTGTTAAGAAAAATGTATTACATAATATAATGAGATAACCTGCACATGAATCTTACCATTTATGGAATGTATTTCCTTCTGCAGCAGAATCTGTATCGGCTGGTCTGGGTCAGGGCACTGGTCAAGGCGGCCGAGGACATAATCAACAAGGTCTTGACAGTTGGCGGGGAGGATGGCAACATGGTCGCCAGGGCTGTACTTCAACTCGTTAGCGCTGCTTGTAGACAGAATCACCTGCTGCGTCCATCTACTGTTGGGGTGTCAAAAAACAGTACAATATTGATATGATAATTGATACTTTTAGAAGATATAATAATAAAAAAAAATAGAGCCTCAGTTATAAGAGTCAAAAGTGGCTGTTGGAAGTTTAGAGAGTTTTTATTGATTGGCAGGAGGACCACGACCATCTCTTCATGTAAAAGGAAATATGATAACATACTCAAGCTCGAGTGAGCTGACTAAGAGGGTACAGTATTGAAAGTATAGTAACTGCAAAGTTTTGCAAAGAAGCAGGCTGAGATGGTTTGGGCATGTAGCGAGAATGGAAGAGACCAACTGGGGGCCAAGAGATGCATAAGTCTAAATGTGAAGGGAGGAGAGCCAAGGGTAAGCCAAGAATGACAATACAGATAGGTGTTAAGAAATGACATCAGAGTTCAGTACCTGATGAGAGGGGCTCCAAGAGACCACACAGAATGGAGAATGCCATTAGGTAATCATGGCTAACCCATGCAAACATGGAAAGTGGTCAGAAAACATTGATGATGATAAATGATATTACTAAAACGCTTTTTATGCTTTATACCCAGGGTCAAAAGTTCACTCCCTCCAAGACTGAAGCAGCATCGACCCCAGAAGAGACAAAACAGTACACCCCCACCAGACAAGAGTCAGAAAAAGTAATTTTGGAGACTCATTCCCGTGACTCAGTTTCACAGTGGGGCCTGAACTTTTGACCATGACTGTACAGGAAACATTTGAAAAATCTATAATCATAAAATGAGTCAGGAATTATCTATGAAGGTAAACTGTTGAGTTCTTCATATTCTTTGTAACTATATTCTATTTTTAACATTTCCTCACATATCAAATTATTAGTCACTTGGGCAGTTGGTCTGTTCTTTATTTGGGTGACCAAACATAGTCACCTATACTGTAATTTATGCTCTTGTGATATATGTTCTGATGTTTAGATAAATATAAGGCTGCTCATGACAAATTCCAATTTTTCAGATTCTCAGATGTAGTACGAGTGTCTTGATTTCCTGGATGCCAATGACCTTCCTCACCATAGCTAACACGTCACAACTGCAGCCGAGACTTCTCGTCTCACAAGTAAAATTATGCACATTGCAAAAAAATATGAAATGAAACATGCATAGGTGTTGTGGCTCAAATTGTGTGAGATGCAGTGGCACCAGGGGTCTGCTGGCATGCAACTACTGTGAAGACAGTAAGGGATTTAGGACGCAGCTGAATTTTACAAAGTCTAGAACAGTGGTTCCCAAACTGGGGGCCATGGCCCCCCAGCAAAATCTAGGGGGCCATAAGCTGAGGCTATGTACAGTACACATAAAAATCCCAAGCCCCACCACACTAGAACAGCCAGTCAGCAGCTGAGCCAGCCAGAGATATGGATTGGGAGAGGGGGGCCATGGATAAGGATCATATATGAAAAGTGGGTAATGATCAGAAAAAGTTTGGGAACCACTGGTCTAGAACATTGTCGCTGGTATTGTCCTGACTATGGGATAAATTGTCAGGAAAAAACTTCTTTGGACTGAGAGTTGTGAATTCTTGGAATAATCTGCCAGACAGTGTTGTGACAGCATCAAGTGTGAGCTCATTTAATACCAGACTTGATGAACACTGGCACAAGTACAGACATCTTATACATTCTGGAACCAGCACATAGTATATACCCAACACTGAGTAAGATAAATGTGACCGACCACCCAAGCAGCTAACAGGCTAATTACAGGTGAAAAGGATAAAGCAAAGTAAGGTACTGGCTTCTGATTTGAAGGAAGCTTCCAGACTGGGTCTGTACCGTTCATCACCGACATGTGGACCGACTTGCGACGTCAACAGGCACAGACAAATTTCGCCCAACTCACTTAACGAGCTTGGCCTCAACTCCAACTTGCACCTAGATTGTGAACCTATCCTCTATAAAGTGCTGCAAGGGCACAGTCAATTATAAAGGCCAACACATCCAGAACATCCTTAAGAAAAGTGTCCAGCACTCCTGTGATCCTAAGTGTAACTCCATTTACACTTTTACAGGTAAATAAACCCTGTGAAGGCCAAACAGAGCCAACCATCAACTTGATTACCTCCTGGATGAAGAAGTTCAACTAGCACTGCCAGGTACATACAGTATATTGCTTGAATATGTCAGTTTCAGGGTACTCAGATGCCATCCATGAGTACAGTATTCCCCCATATTTGTACATTTTGAAATTTCTTGTCGACCTAAATTTTTACAATTTATTATTTTTACCATTTTCTGCATCTGCATTCCTAATTTTTCAAAATGTTTGTGGCATACTGTAATAAGATAAATTAACATTAAAAGACAGCAGACCCCCTATTTCAATAATGACATGGTGAGTCACACGATGCTTTAACAATGTCAATTATTTGTGCTTTCAGGCAGCTGATTCAGACACAGAACCCATTGTCACCCTAAAGAAGAAAGTTGCTTCTTTCCTGGAGCTCAGTTTCACCATCCCTCATGCTTCATAAAACAGCCATCTTCTTCAGTTCAATGCAGAAGAGTATGAGGACTCTCTCACCCGTTGGCAGGTGGTTTATCCTCCACGACATGAGTGACCAAGTTGAAAGTCCTTCCCACTGGGCCCATCAGCACTCTTCTGTAGCAGCTGCCCCACCACCTGCTAATCATTCCTGCATGGCTGTTGGCGAATTTGGTGATCTGCCTAAGGATGAAGTGGAGACATGTGAACTGGAACTCTACCAGAACATCTCCACCCTAACCTCTTCCATACCCATCTTGTAATGGTAGAAGGAGCATTTGACCCAATTCCCGGCACTATAAACTGTGCATAACCTTGTGTGTCATGGCCACTAGTGCACCAAGTGAGATAAATTTTAGTCTTGCTGGACAGGTCATTTAAGCAAGATGGACTTGCATGAAGCCTTATTGTATCAATGACACTTTATTCCTCAACTCCAGTTTGTGTTATGAATCAGTAAGGTTGGAAAGAGGTATGTTATAGAAATAAGATAGTAGAGTACTGCACAGGAGTGGACTGTGTGTGCTTGTTATATATGTTGTATGTTTACTTGATTGAAAACTTGACAAACACATGAAATGTGTGTATGGATACATACCTCAAGTTTGTGTAATTGACTTGCTTTACTGCAGCAAGAGCTGATCACATACTATGTTTGTTTAATCATAATGATGTTTTGGTTCATATTAACATTGTTCATAGTAGACAGATGGTAGTGAAGGAAAGAAACATGACCAACATATGGCGCTTTATTCCTGACATTTCACCATAAGACCTTTCCTTTGAAAAAGTCTTGTGACGAAACATCAGGAATAAAGATCCATTTCTTAGTTGTGTTTCCTTCACTACCACACTACCTTGGTACATTGTTATAACTTATTAAATGTAATGTTACAATGTTCACTGCTTAATGATGTTATCTCTTGATCGAGTGCTAAGAGGTGATTGAATTTGGATTTACTTTTAGTTAATACTGTACTATAATTCTGAGGATAAAAACCGCATATCCTCATTATTGATAACATTGCTCCCTGTGCCGCTGTGTCAATCAGTGACTTATTGTTGTAAAGAATGAAGATGGAAATGTGTATAGTATTACATATAGTAACAGCCATCTTTGTGTGCCATAATATGAAAGAATGTTTATTTGTTGCATACACTGATATATGAAATGTACGTTGCATACACTGATACAGTACTGTATATGAAATGTACAAGTGCATACTCTGGTGATAAACATACAGTCAAACTTTCCTTGGAACATCTGCCACATTAACAAACACCTGATATCAAAAGAGGTAATTTTTGTTTCGCCTTCTATATCATTCAAAGGAAAAAAGGCAGTTCTAAAATGAAGTTTTACAGAAGTATTTCTGCATTCCTATGTCTTAAGCAAGGTTTTACTTTCTCTAGTATGTGCAGTAACTGATACTGAAAGATGTGTTCAGGACTTGCCCAATGTCTTGGTATATAAAGGCAGTCAATAAAATTTTTACATTAGATGAAATGAGAATTTGTATTGTGAGGAATAATAATCATACACTATAACAGATACAGTACATATAAATTTATACAAAAATATTACATGCCATCTATAACAGTGTGAATGTGATGAGAGTTGTAAAAAATCTCGCCCGTCCAATGGTGATTGGAGGTTGGCAATTGAGTTGTTGAGTACAATTAGATAAACTGAGTATAAGAGATGGGAAGTTATTCAGCATGCAAAAAACTTAGCAAGGAACGATACATTTCGGGGTATACCGTATTCATAAACCCATATCACACGGTAATGTAGAGGGAACAGCACAAAAAACTCCTGGAGTCCTTGAAGCAGAGGAGGGGGGAGTCGATGAGGAGCCGGGACGGACGTACTTGGGTTATACAAGGGGCGAGTAGTGGGAGCAAGAGCACCGGCACAGAACGAGGGGACAACGGGACGCCTGCCATCCGCTCTACCTCCCACCAAGGAGGAGGGGAGCGCCATGTAAACAGTGTCATTCTGACCACACCCCACAAACCACAAGGGATACAGTAAACGAGGCAACTGCAGAGAATGGAGGAGGGCCGGAGACAATACCAAAACCAGAGACATTACAGAGGACAATTTCCGGCTTGAAAATCATGTACAGTAAGTCCTCGCTTATTGTTGTGGTTCCGTTCCTGAAAACCGCGACGTTAATGGAAACAACATTAACGGAATCAATTTTCCTCATTAGAAATAGATAAAATATGAGTTCTGCTCCCCAGCCTCCCTTTACCCCATAAAATACATTACGGTACATGGAATATATATATATATATATATATATATATATATATATATATATATATATATATATATATATATATATATATATATATATATATATATATATATATATATATATATATATATATATATATATATATATATATATATATATATATATATATATATATATACTGTATATATAAACTAAATCATTTTGTATTGTACTCACTGATGGACGGAGGTGTTTGGCAAGTAGTGGAGCGGAGGAGGAGGGAGGCGAGTCACCGAGACCAAAAGGGTGGCTCCTCCTTACCTTTCTCAAATCAGTTTAAAGCCTCCATTTTCGTAGCAAGGTTAATGGTCTTATGTTGCTTCTTCACAACAGTAGTACTTGACGGGTGCTTGGAAGCCATTTCGAATGGTTAGAGTACAGTTTTAAGAGTAAAAACACTTAAACATGCACAAACGCTGTGGTAGCCTAACAAAGACTGGGGATGCTTGGGGAAGTCGTGACGCTCCGCGGGTGAGAGCGTAGCGTGTCAAGATGCACCGTACAAAATAGTCCATGACGACGTTATACCGAATCGGCGGGACGTTATCCAAATCATGGGTATCTAAAGAATAGCAATGTTATAATGAAATAACATTATCAGGGGCAACGTTAAGCAAAGACTTACTGTATACTAATATTGACATGTTCCTTGACAAGAGAGCGGCGTTTGTAACACTACTGAGGGTGCATCAACCCGATATAGTAGGTGTTGTAGAACTGTTGTACAAAAACAGGATAATCGAACCACAGGAATGCGAGGTCAATATAGATGGATATGACTCATTTACGAACCTTTCCCAAGAACTTGCAAGAGGGGTGTGGTTACCTATGGTAGGCAAGACCTTAGAGCCAGCCAGGTGAGGGTGAGAATGTTTTTGAAGAATCAAAGTGGTGTAAAATTAAACTGAAGGGGAGATCCCCAACTGTAGCGTATTAAACCTGAGAAACTTAAGAACCTTAATTGACAATGTAATGGTGCAGAACCCAGCCACCTCATTGTCATGGGGAACTTCAATTATGGCGACATCGACTGGAGAAATGAGCCCACGCCAAATGACCCAAATAGTCCAGCCACTCTTTTCGTAGAAACTCTGAGACAATTTTCTATTCTAACATGTTAAAGATCCGACTCACTACAGAGGGGAGCAAACGCCCAAACCGCTGTACCTCATCATAACTAACGAGGAGGGTATGGTGGCCAAGCTGGAACACCTAGCCCCAGTTGGCACCAGTCACCACGTAATGTTGTCCTTCAGATTTAACTGTTACTTGGTTCATGACAAAACCAGGTCCAGGTTCAAATAGTACAAAGAAAATTACAATGGGATGAGGGAGGAGATGAAGAGTATACACTGGCCTGACTTACTGAGGAATAAGAACGCAGAAGCTACGCTGAATATCATAGCCAGTAAAGTAAACCATTTGTTAGATAAATATATACCCAAGACTAAACCCAGTGCCTCCAGGAATACAAGGAGACCACTACACATAAACCATGCGGCAGTCGGCAAAGTTAAAAAAAAAACTCAGGATTTTGTGACGTAGGTTAGGACAAATGATGAGCAGGAGAGGAGGAAGTATGCCAGATCCAGGAACCAAGCAAAGTCAGAGTGTAGAAGGGCTAAAAAAAGAGTTCCAAAGGCAGTTTGCTAGTGAGGTCAAGTCAAACCCAAAGATTTTTTACCGCTATGCAAAGTCACAATTAAAAATGCGAGTAGGCATATCGGACCTGAGGCTTGAAGATGGTAGTTATGTAGATTCTGGCCAGGATAAGGCGGAGGCATTGAAAAAAAAAATTTAATCGGTGTTCACAAGAGAGGATGCAAACAATCTTCCTGCATTTGATGAAAGACTGTTTGACACAGAGCTGACACACATTGTGTTCTCAGATGAGGTTATAAGAAAAAAATGTCAAAGATAAAGATTCACAAGAGTCCCTGCCCTGAAATGGTACACCCCGGAGCGTTAAGAGAACTGTGTAATGAGCTTGCGGAGCCCTTAAGGTTCTGTTCTGCAAATGCCTGGAGGAGCAAAAGGTCCTCGATGACTGGAAGATGGCTTATGCAAGTCCTATCTTCAAGAAGAGCGACCATCACTCCATGAATAATTATACGTAGACCAGTGAGCCTGACCAGCATAGAGTGCAAAGTACAGGTACTGGAGAGCATCGTAAGAGATGCCATGATGGAACATCTACTAGGAAACAGCCTTGGAAAGGAATGCCAACACGGCTTTATGCCGGGAAGATCCTGCTTAACACAATTACTCCAGGTTCTAGATGTTTGGACTCAATTTTAGAACAAGGCAGAAATATCTACAATATATACTTAAATTTCACCAAGGTTTACGACAGTGTACCCCAAGAAAGTGTCCGAGCGTGGATGAGAGATTTTCTGCATGACCACAAACAGTGCATGGTGATAAATGGTACGATATCGTCATGTGTACCTGTGACGAGCGGGGTACCACAGGGCAGTGTATTGGGCCCATTGTCGTTTGTCTGTTTTATTAATGACATGCCTGCCAGAAGCTATACACTCCTCCATACAAATATTTGTGGATGATGCCAAGTTATTAAGGGAAAATAAGAACCATACAGACTGTGAAGAGCTGCAGAAAGATCCCTATGAGCTGCAAGAATGGTTGAGGAAATGGTTGCTAAAATTCAATATCGTGAAGTGCAAAAGGATGCACCTGGGTCGCACTAATAGGAAGGTGGCATATCACATGTCCCAACATGATGAAGAGACTGCATTAATTGAGACCAAATGTGAAAAAGACCTGGGTGTGTTTGTCGACAACGAACTTAAGTTCTCGGGCCATTGTGAGAAGAATGAGAATCAGGCAACGAAACTAGTAGGTCTTACAAGAAGGTCGTTTTGATATCTGGATGGTCCGTACTCGTCACTATCTTCATGAGTGAGGTACTTCCCCGGCTGGTCCCCGAGATATGCTAGAGATTGTCAATTGATTAAAAATGTCCACAGGAGGGCCACCAGGCTGGTGCCAACTCTATGGAACCTCAGTTACCCAGAGAGATTGGAGCGCCTGCAACTACCGAGCTTATACTACAGATGGGCGAAGGGAGACCTAATCGAAGTTTATAAACATCTCAGGGGGCACTACTCGGTTGAATGCACATACCTAGACTGGCAGACATCCGCTCCACAAGGGGTCACAGCTCAAGGTTGAAGAAGCCACAAGTCCAGAAAACTGTGAGGGCAAATTTTTTTGCAGTGAGTAATGTAAACTCATGGAACAATCTGCCAGAGAGCGTTGTGATGGCACCAAGTGTGAGCTCATTCAAGGCCAGACTTGACCAACACTGGTGCAGGTTCCGATATATTCAGGAGCAAGTGCATGCCCAGTATCTGCCAACAGTACATATCAGAGACATGACCAACCTCCCAAACGGCTAGTGAGCCGATCAGCGGAGAAGATAAAAGTAAAAGTAAAAAGTATTATGCTACACCTCTAGAAGTCTAGACTTTTAGTATAACGTAATAGAAAATTTTTAGTAGCCACTTAAAATTCATGTTACTGTGGTACTTTAAGTACTGTTTGCAAGTGTATAAGTTGACCTTTAATAATAATTATTACCTACAATAAACCCTCGATAACTCGGCATTTGAGAACTCGGAATTTCATATAACTCGGCATTGATGTGGTCTCGGAATCTATTGGTATAACTCGGGAAATGCCGAGATACAGTACTGTGTATAAAATTATCTGGGAAAATTTAAGCATATCTGTCCACCTGCATCACCTACCATGCCTCTGTGTCACCTACCATGTATCTGTGTCACCCAATATAATATTTAATTCGTTGCCAAGAGTGCTGGTGTTAATTTTTTAATTTAATAATTACATGTACACGTACATGGGTCGATAATTTTTTTGGTATTTTTGTAGGAGGGGGGAAGTGCCTCGCTAAGTCGGAATTTGGGATAACTCAGCAAGGCCAGAGCCCCATATATTTTCAGTTATCAAGGGTTTATTGTATCTATTTATCTTATTTAAATATTTAACAGGAATTATTTCCTATCTATTTACATAATAATTACACAATGGGTTGTAATCTCAATTCTGTGTTGTCTTGTGAGAACTAACCCTCTTTATAGTAATATTATCCAGGTGGTTAGTTCCTTAATTATTTAAATATTAATTTGTATCAAAGTGTTAATGTAGATGGAGAAATTGTTCTAGAACTTATTCAGTTATTCTTAGGGTCCATTTATTAATGTGTACAGTATTTCAATCCAGTTCATTAGCTCACCTCCCTACACTTGTGAATCTGAGACCAGGTGTTATGAGTATGGTTACCATGGAAAATAAATTCCTGCAAGGGAGGATTTTCTGACATAACCCTTTAAACCAAGAAACAGAATATATTTGAAATATCTCGGCACAACAGTGGTTCACAGTTTAATAATGCAGTACTGTTAAGGGAAGCGGGTCAAATTTCCGACAAGAGTGATGCATGTAACAGTGTGTGTGTGATGAGAGCGCAGTTTCAGGCCCTGTGCGGGTGATGCATTTGTGGGATCAAGACTGGTTGTTGTGGTACAGTTGTGGTTAAATCATAAAATTGCACTGTGGTTGCAGTTTTAACCTTGCAGGTGTGGTGCGGGTGTGCCTTTAATCTTGCAAGTGCGTTATGGGTCCAATGAGTGGAACCAAACAGGGCTCTGACAGTCAAGTAAATATATAGATGGACATTTTACAGCTTCCTTATTGTAGAACTTTATATTACAATACAGAAAAACCTTGAACACTCATTTACAAAACAGTGGAGAGCTAACCTGGCATTTTGTCCGTGGAGGTTTCTAGAAGCCAACACTGTGCAGGATCGAACCTTCTTGCTATGAGCTCGTGAAAGTCCTTCAATATATTTCCATTCAAGAAAAGTAAAAACAGTTAGTATCTTCTATTAATTGAAGTTATTTAAAGTATTGTCACCCTTACCAAAATAAAATACAGTAAGTCAAGGAAAAACTTTCAAAGTACAGTACACAACCAAATGTACTGTTACTTGTCAAAAAAATAAATAAATTATATTCAAATATCCCTGTACTGTATGTTCAAATATAGCTTACTAGTCTACCTTAACTGATAAAACTTTACTGTACTAGAAGCAAGGCTCACCGGTAGCAATGTCAGTCACATTAGTGCAGGAAGAAAGCTTGACTTTATCAGCAGTGGCTGATGCTTCTGCCTTGAGTGCTGCGGTCGCCTCCTTCATGGCCACGTCATCGTCTAGACAGAAAGTCTCGCACCCAAACTGACCATCAAGCAAATCAGAGATTTCAATGATGAATATTATTATAGTCATTGGTTACTGTTAACTGGAAAAAAGTACAATGTTGGCTAACTTTGGGTCTGATGCCTTGAACGAGGGTGTCAAGAGTACCAGGAATACCAATTTAATTCATACTAACTTAAATTTAATAACTTACACTGTAAATTCTTAGCAATGGATGCTACCATACACAAGATATGTAAAGTTACACCCTGTTAATCATTCACATTCTGAAATGTTCACATTGAGGGTGAGAACCATAAATAATGATAATATACAGTACTGTAGTCTAAAAAATAATAATATATGTTGAGGCAGAATTTCTCTAAGAAGAGGTGAAGCCACCAGCTTCATATATATATATATATATATATATATATATATATATATATATATATATATATATATATATATATATATATATATATATATATATATATATATATATATATATATATATATATATATATATTACTGTACTGTACATGCATAAATCAATATACATGGATTTAATTATGTACACATCAGTACAGTACATGCTGTGATTCATGCACACATATATTTGTACAGTATATCTAAAAAGTAACTGCCAGGATAGGTCCGATGACCTTCCCAGGTAATCACTAGTTGAATCCTGGGAGGGTTGGTATGCATGGCTCTGTGGTATACTGATTCTACTACATTTGGTAACCGAACATCATATTAATTACTGTACACCAAAATAAATACACATTGCATTACTTAGGTTAAACTATACAGGCAGGAACACACAAATCCCAATATCTATCATCTGTGGTCTCAATGTTTCACAGAGTGTGTGGACAGATACTTTTTTGAGATACTGTACATACATACATAAAACACACTTATTGTCCAAACTTAGATACTGGACATATATATTTACATACTGTACTGTATCTATTAAAATACTGTGGATACATGCATATCATGCAGAATGAACATAAAGAAATACTTCTTCACACAGCTCAAGCTGTGGAATCGAGATCAGTAGTGGGCTTCAAAATAGCTTCTGACTAGACTATCAAGAACAATGGAGGATCCTACACAGACCAATGGGCTCCTTCCATTGGCATGCTCATTAATCACCTCTAGGTGGTGGCCATTAGGTAGATAAGGTAAAGGTAAATACAGCTCCTCCCCGACTTACAACGGGGCTAGGAACCCAAATCCAGGTCGTAAGTCGAATTGGTCGTAAGTCGAAAATGCTTAAATAATACATAGAAAATCTAAAATGGGTGTCTCTTTTTCTTCTCAGCACCACAAAATTCTCACTTTTAAACTTGCCAGCCATTTTAAAGTGAATTACAAACGAAAATTTTGTCAGCACACAGCGCAATCACTGACGTTGGGACACGAAAATACGTAATTTGACAAAACTTTAGTATGACTCAGGCGGTCGTATGTCTGGGTGGTCGTAAGTCGAGTAGTTCGTAAGCCGGGGAGGAGCTGTACAGTAAGACCTCCTTTAGCTGGATTGTTGGCCTGGCGAGTTGGCTAGGAATTACCATACCTAGGTAGCATTGTTGAGCGTCGCATTCGAGCTATATCACAAAAACTGGTTTTTAGAAAAAAAAAACGTCTTTTTTTATCATTCCGAAAAATTCCGGGAAAAATCGCTCTATTCCAGGCATGGGCATTACCGGAAAATTCTGAGACAATTGCATCATGTTTCTGACAAGGGGATGTGTGCCGGAGACATGGGTGGGTAGGCTCAAGAATGACTGAGATCTACGATTGACCACAACTGTCATGTAACTGCATGGGATGCCTATGATTGTGCTGATGTATCTCACAGCCTATCTCCTCAAACTCTTGCATCATGGCACTCTTTGTTCATTGTTTCTCTGCCATTGCACTAACCTGTTCGCTCGCTCACTGCTGTTTTACGCATACAATCTGTGTTGTGCAGTATTGTACATTACTGTATCAGCACACAATCAGCCAAGAATACTGTTAAAACAGTGTTAAGATGCAAAAAGTGATTACAGTAAAAGTTATATATACTGTGCTGTACATCCAGTAAGTGTGAAAGTACCAAATGTACACTACTGTACATAGTGGAATGTGTACACAGTATACAGTGCATGTACAATCCTTCCTTCATGGAGGGAGAAGACATGGAGGAGATGGTACAGGACAAAGGTAGGCCATCCTGTATCATTATATCACCACCTGATCTGCCTGCATCACAAGCTCAAGACAACAGCATCTGCTGGTGAGTATACAGTATACAGTGTATAACAGTAGTATATTGTATTCATTTACATTTTACAATATACAGTATTGTACATGTACAGAGGTGTTTGCATAAATAGATACAACTGTGTGTCTGTCCATGTCAGATGTGTGGTTTAGACTCTTGGACAACTTTCTCCAGTATTGTACCTGGAAAAATTACGGGGATGTGCGATTTTTTCTGAGGATGAGAAAATTCGTCTCCACACCTTGATATCTCTCAATCCCAGAACGGCTCTGAACCAATTGTTCTGGCTAGCGGGGATAACACACACAGTGCACAAGACATATACTATACACATTCTGTACATTCTAATACAAATATACTATACATACAGATGTACTCTACATACAGTGCATCCATAACATATTAGGTCTATTTGCATTTTATATGATTCAGGGATTTAAATATCATCATCACTTTCACAGAGAAGAAATTCATTTTCTTGAGCTGCACCATCATACATAATTTCCTGCTCAACTTACTCATCAGATCACTTCTACTGTCCACTCCAAATATAAATTTAACCATTCTCATCAGACTAGCATAAAAATGGCACAAGAAATACTGTATTATGACAACTTAATCCAGGGACCAAATATTAAAGGTAACCCTAACACGCCCCTGTTCCAATACTAAGCAGAGCAGCAGCCAACTCCTATTACCGGGTATGTCTGAAGTGGGATATCAGCCATTGATCGCTATGTTTATTTTGTGAACCTGAGTAAACCAAAATGGCCTGCCAAGACTGGCACACTGCATATCCTTTCTAGCATAAGTTAAATAATTAATGATGATATCAGGGCAGACCTGAATATGATGGGAAACATTAAACAGAACTTTATCTTCAAGCTATGACAGGTTCAGGTTGGCCAGGTTTTCCTGTAGAACAGATAGCAGAAAGTAACTTTTTATTCAGAGAATAAAAGATCTGTACAACAAAAATAGTGCAACCGCAAAGTAAACAAAGGGTATTTATATAGAACAAAACTTGCCAAAAAGCACTTTGCAGATATCTTAACAGTAGCAAAAACATTGTCAATCACAGATAGTTTACAACACTTATATGACTCCTTCACATACAGTGATAAAGGACATACAGTAATGTATTTTACTAGTCAGCATTTGCTGACCAGATTAAGGTCCAAAAGAGCTTTGGTCTTTAACCCTTAAAGCCCAGGTGACGTTCCTCTACATCCACCATAGCAAACCTGGGTGACGTTCCTCTACATCCTTAATTTTTACGACATGGTTTGAATGTACAGGCAGGATGAAGTACATTGCTCCTCCACACCCTTGAGTGGCAAAGACAGTGATCGGGAGGAAACAGACCCAGCCGATGTCAATTTTGTTGAGGCGGCCAGCAGTGAGGACAATGATACAGACAATGGCGCTCACTCCTACCCACCCCACCAGCCATCCCTTCAGTGAGGTTGTGGTGGAGGCGAGGTAGAGCGGGAGGCCAGACATAAATGAAAACATAACTCTGATAATGTAAAGCCTGACATCTTATGGCCGAGTCTTATTAGTACTGTACAGATAATTCATGCAAATCCATGCATCTTATATGGTAGAGACTATTAAGGCTTTTTCAGTTAAAAAAATTGGTGTAAACATAAGTGCTATATACAGGTACAGCGTGTGTGGTTATATACACACTGTAAAATTCATGCAAATCCCTGCATCTTTTAAGTGCTGATATGTCTACTTGGTAAATGAATTAGTCTTTCATAAATATCATCATTTTTGGATGCAGGGTGGCCAGTCTGGTACTGATTCCCTGATCATTAGCATTTAGCAGGTTGCCACACCCCATTAACTGGATATTAGCACACTTAAGAATTATTGCATCATCATCAAGTGCACCCCACAACTCCAGAGTGTAATTTTTGTTTGTTAGTGCAAGAGTTGGTGAACAAGTACAGTAATGAACTCAGTCCTCCACTCAAGACAGGAATGAACTCTTCATTACAGGTCAAGAGTACCACAGCTGAGCAACTGAATGAATTGGGTTCCAGACTAATGACCAGAGACTCATGGACAAGCTGCTTCCTGTTCCAGCATCTTAGCACTGTGTAGATCAAACAGCTGCATACTTGACTCTCACCTGGTCTCCAGATTTCTGGAGGAGATTCACAAACCTTAGTTCTTGGTATGTAAAATAATAGATTAAAATAAAATGGGTAGAAAATTAAAATAAAATACACATGGCGAGAGAGACACTATTTTATCCTTGTTTGCTTTGTACGACTCTTCTCAAAAGCTGTAGCTTTCAAAATTTCAACTCTGAGCAATCCCACCTTCTTGTTACTTAATTACCATAAATAAAGAGAGATAACATAAAATTGGGTTTTTAAACTATGATGAGATATAGTAACCTTAGCATCCTGTTTTTATTGTAACAAAGCTTAAGGGCAAGAGAAAAGTGAGTTAAGACAAGTGAGGGGAGTGACATTAGTTGTTTCTGAAAAGTTGAGAGCAAAAGAAGGTGTGGCAAAGTGACATGTTGAGCAGTGTGATAAATGATAATGTGTCAGATCAAAAATATTTTGGATGGGACTAAGAGAAGGATGTACAAGATGGGTGACTATGAGTACACTATTACCAGAGAGTTGTCACATCTCTCCATCACATATTCTGGGTAATTAAAATACTTGACTTCCCATCACACATTGATGTACGCTGCCAGCCTGGTGCCACCCCTTCCTCCTCAACAATGCTAGCTGTTGCACCAGAGACCATCACTTCTCAACCAATCACCATTGCATAAATGAAAATGTGAATCAAAAGTGCGGGAACCAGCATAAAGGCTCTTATATGGCCCCACCTGGCGACAAAAGGTTTCATTCAACTATTCCATCTCTAGCATCTCACACTTCACTCTCCAACACCCTAACAGAGCAACTCACTGCTCTCAACAGCCTGTGCATCGTCTCCACCTCGTATCTGCTACCTATGGCTAACTCCTTTTTATGTATTTTCTCTTGTCTAAGTGACCCTTTCAGCTTTAGTGATACTAGTGAACTCTCTTATGTGACCTGTGTGCTCTTACTAGTGAGCTGTGATCATTATGGCTCTCTAATTAGTGATACCAGGACTGAGACTCTTAACTTATGTACTCAATGAGCACCCATATATGACCCACTGCAATGCTATTATTATGGTGTCTATTAGTTTATCAACATTTAATTGTTTGTAAAATTCTTGTGCATTTAGCTATACCTGGTGTAGGACAAGCATCTTATGACCCAGTGGACTTCTTTGTTTCTCTGTATAGATTAAGTGTGTAGGTGTAATTATGAGAAAACTGTTGCTGCATGTTTAACTACCCTCCCCATACATGAGATTTAAGTATTACTGTTACAGTACTCAGTTTCACAGGAACACACCTACTTTGTTCATGAGAGGAATTTTTAGTTAACATCTCACTTAAAGATTTCACTAAGTATTCCTTGGAAGTTCTATGTAAACATTAAATTGTTGACTGGATGTTTCTAATACATGACAAAGTGCATAAGAGGAAGAGGAGGAGGAAGAAGAGGAAGAAGAAGGAAATAGCTTTTGAGATCCACATAACTGGTCTGAAAGCTTAGCAGTGAGAGACAATTGACTGGGATGGGGCATTTACACATTACTTTTGGTATTAGGGATATACTGTAGAGAGGTTGTGGGGAAATACTCGACTGGCACAGAGAATGAAAGTAGAGGTACAGTACTGATAGGAATGAAAACTGAGACAGTCAACAATACATGGCTAAAAAAGAAACCACAGTAATAAAAAAGTAATGGAGGTTGGATAATGGAACTGCAAGAGGCTTCTCAGGCCATGTGCTGGTGGACAGAAGAATGAAATGTGGGTTGACTATTGTGGACGTAGTAAGATGATGTGAAATCAAAAGTGTCTGGCAACTATTTGGTACAAGTAAGATTAATAGTGATGAAAGGTTCAGGTGAAAGATAATTAAATAACTGAAAAAAAGGTTGTCAATGCCAATTATCCGAGAATATCATTGTGGCAAAAACACTCATAAAGATAAGAAAAAACAAGCCAGGGAAATATAAATGTGAACGAAGGAAGTGGAATTGAAGATGAATGGGAAGTGTGAGAAAATGAAAATAATGTTGTAGAAGCTAGTTACCAGTGTGTTGTAACCAAGTTCTATTTCTTTTGAAAACTGTACAAATCTGTCTTACCACTTCCATTTTGAGTTGTACTGTACTTAATAAGTGACAGTGCTACTCTATCTACTCCAACTTTGGTATTAAAGAAGACTCTCTAACACTAACAATACAATACACTCTAGCAAGTTACTGTACAGACTAAGGCAAACTACACACACAATTTTTCATGTATCAGAAACCTACACTTACAAATATAAGCAAGAATAAGTACTCACATTGAAGACATCAGCAGCCCACTTGTTGAAGGCTTGCTCTTGACCAGCGAGTTCATCACCACAAGTCAGTTTCATAAGCTGTTCTCCACCCAGCTCAGATAACAGGTTGTCCACATATTTACCAAAAGCACAGAAATTTGGGTAAGCACTAGATCCCAGTGCAAACACTGCAAACCTGTGTTAATACATCAAATTATATAACAATAATATTTTGGATACTGAAAGTAGGGTAAGAACTCAATATCCCAGGCTCCAAGTTTATCATCTTAATATACTGTACTGTACTGTACCACAATGAACCAATTTAGACCATATATTCCTTTACACTGTACAACACCACTGATGATGTCATCAATATCATGGAATTGAAAAATCCTTAATTACATAACTCATAAGAAAAATCAGTCCTAGGAGGAAAAAATGAGAAAGTAACAAATTTATAGAGAACCAATTTCTAAGTTCCTCTGAATGTTAGTAAACACAATTGTCGTTGGCATTAGTGGCACCACTCATCTTTTTCTCCCAGAACCATTAATAATGTTGTTGCAAGACTTCTAAACTAAGTTAAGACACCATGTCTCTGCTGATCCCAGTAACTAGATCGTTTATGTAGATTATGAACAAGAGTGGGCCCAGTACTGACTGCTGGGGAACCCCACTGGTTACACAGCGCGTCATTATCTACTACCTCGAAGACTTTCCTAAAAAACGTCAGCAGATTTGTTAGACAATATTTTCCCTTTGTAAATCCATGTTGAGAGTAGTAGATTACTGTAATTTGTTTTGTTGGGGGATGGAAATTTGGGGCTTAATATACAACCTATTTTTCCTCAAGTTATTATCTTAGATCACCAGAGATGCAGTGTTCTTTTTGTATACTGTACTGATATTTTAACATTATCAACAATATTAACATTTAAGACTACAGTATCAGTAGAGTCCATTAATATTTTAATATTATGTGTACTTCACTAACGATTACAGTACAGGGTATAAAGTGCTAATATTTTAAGACTACAGTATTTATAGATAATGCTTAAAGCTTATTAGGTATAAAAAGCTTTAAGCTGCATTATGTATTCAACAACAATTTATGTGCTTGAATCAATCAAAGATTTTACATACCTAACATTGCTGAGTGGTCCAAAGTTGTCTTCAGACATGATTTCAGAGGTAACCGACGCCCGAACGTTGGAGTTTGCCACGCCATTCTCCTGTGTGTTGGCAGCTGCTCCTGCTCCCTCTGTTAGACTGTTCATCCTCATGAAGGACAGACTCCGGTGTAAGCTGCAGAAACCCACATCATGTTTAACTTCAGAACGACAAATATCTATCCAAAACAGTATTGTGTGCGAGTCATGTGGATGTGATCCGAGTAATGTCTAACTTAGGTGCAACAGTTTATAAAACACATTTATGCACAGTAAGTCCTGTGGTGCGAACATCACAAGGTTAGCAAGAATTGACTTTATTCTCAATAAAACTGTTGTATCTGTTGCTACATGAAGCTTATACATCACCTGGTAACTACTGCAACGGTGCACTGTATTTGTGTTATCAATACAAAATAAATATAAACTACTGGGTATATGAAATTACATATAATGTAGTTATGATAATTCATAATTGAAGATTGTGTAGGTAATTAAGTATGTAAGCAGCTAGTAATGATATTCATCCCACCTACCTGGGATGAAACATGTTCATCCAGTTAAAATTACAAGCAAAAGATAATTATATAGCAAAATACAGTGTATAACATTATTATGGACATCACCATGAATAAATTTATATCATGTACAGAACATTTTTAGAAAAATATGTACAGGAATTTAAGGAATTACTGTGTAATGAATTTATACTAAACAATGATGATAGTGGTTGTAGTATGTAGGGGGCTATCTATAAGTTAGAGAGATTATATTCTAAGATGTTTTCTCCATCTTGCCAGCCTTTTCCTCTTATTAAGTAGGGCAGCCACACAGGTACTTAACCACTTGGTGGGTTGCTACAGCCCCTCGGTAAGAAGGTATTCCACCCAAGTTTTGTAAAAGTGTATTCATTTCAGTGGTTAGTGGGCAAGAGTTAGTGTGTCAGAAGGGACCAGTTTCCACTCCAGCTGGGAGGTGAACCCAAGACCATTTACTGTACATGTAGGAAAAATACTCCACCATCAACCTACAATTAAAAAAAAAAACACACTAATTATCTTTTCACCTATCAGGCATATGATCATTTTCATCTGCATCATTTAGAAAATGGGGTAATTAACTAGTAATGTTGGGTTGTTGACACATTGATGGTACACTGATTTAGATATCCTGGTATGACACCGCTTGTACCTTCCTTATTTGAGTGGAAAATGCGACATGTTATATAAATCATATACTGTATGCATGTATATATGCAGTGAGACCTCTATTTAATGGACTATAAAGAAGAGTGTAGTCCATTATATCAAAGGTCGTTAGATATGATACCTGTACCTCTATACTGTACAGAGATTGATAACCATTAAATGGAGGTTTTTACTCTACTGTACTGCATTTGTGTATAAGTCTTTTATAACTGGTAGATACACTGATTAATTAATAGTCACCAATCAGTAATACAGTACAGGTACTTATACTGTATCGAATAATACATTAATCTCCCTTGTAATTGATCCTGCTATATATATATATATATATATATATATATATATATATATATATATATATATATATATATATATATATATATATATATATATATATATATATATATATATATATATATATATATATATATAAAACAACTACAGTACACAGCAGTAATAACTACATAAAGTACAACAAAGACCAACAGTAGTTATTGACCACAACCAAGTAGCTCAAGAAGTAAGCATATCTAGTTACCAGTAGTTCAAAAGTGACCTAACTCAATCTTTTCAGTATACTATACACACAATTTTTTTAAACAAGTATTATACCTAGCGCATAACACACCCAGGTATGTAGACTCCATGGTTTTTAATTAAGTGCACTGACTATGACCATTATTCCTTCCCAGCCACTCAACAGGGATCTCTACACAACTTCATGCAGGTAAAAGTCTTCCTTTGAGAACCAGACCAAACCTGAAAAATGACATGGTTCATAATCCCTTTGAACTCCAGTTAATTGTATTTAAACTCTAAAATGTTTAAAATAGTATCCCTAAGAGAATATCCCTAATGAAACATGTTGAGGACACAAAAATTCAAATAAAAAGTTATTAAGGAAAAAGACAGATGGTGTCAATACCCTTTTGGGAAAAGCTAACCCCAAAGGCTAAAGGATTTGTATCTGCAAGGTAGATTACAGCCAAAAAATGTGTGGACGACTCCTCAGCTGGCTATGTAACAATGACCAGGATCTGTAGACACGATATCCCAAAATCAAAAAGAAACTTCCTATCTTTGTAGGTACAAGACTTTCAAATGCAGTACCCTGTAACATGTTCATCAGTGCCCAGAAACTCTAGTCATGGTTCAGAGACCAAAAATTTATATGAATGAACAGAGGGATGGATGAACCAGGGGCCAGATGAATAATAATATGTGCTGTTTATCAAAACACATTTGGCAACCTGCAGGTACATAATGACATGCATTGTAAAGTGGAAATCATTTTATCACTAACTTATGAATATTTATTTCACTTATGAATATTCAATTAATTTCTGGGAACTCCTTTATTCTTATTTATAGTAGAATATAATTTTGTGAAGAAAAAACCTATTAAATAAAAAGAAGTGAATTAGGTCTCCTTTGAACTAAGTTAAAGATATCCATTAACACTAGATACTTTACATGGGGTCACTCATCAATAAACATGGTACGTAGGTGTAGGTGATGCGTTCCTTAACAGTGCTCACTGGCTACAACAAGGATCCTTGTATACTGTCAATATGGAGAACTAGACAAACAGGAAATTAAGATACAACTAATACTCTATAAATAATACATTATATGCAGTTACATTTGTCAAAATAATGAAGCTAATACTGTACACTCATGGTCAACTTGCATGCTGCTGTTGTAGAATTAGTAAACTTAGGCAAAACCTTATCATGCATATACACAATGCAAGAACATGTAGCAAAGAGTTAAAGAGTTAATATCTCAAAGCCTATAATGTGAAGATACAAATTCAGAGTAAGATTAATATTTTCTTACATCCATGGTGTATTATTAACATGTGTTAGTGACTATTTATGTATCTTGATTCAACTCTTAACATTAAAAAATCCAAGTATCAAAATTCAATTAGGTACTTGTATATCAAAATGAAAGAATTTACCTAAATATTTGTTAAAAACAAAGTTATAAACAAAATTTAACATGCTGATGACAGAGCCAAGTGTTTGGCAGATGTACAAAAAATTCCTACATGTGTGTATACTGTAGTTACAAAACAGTTTCACGATTACTAAAGAAAGGGTTAGGCTTCCAAATTCTTCTTGTGACAAAGGCAAGAAGTGACCAAAACTGTCAACTTTTGTAGTTTGGCTGGAGTTTGTTTGTTTATTTCCTATAAAGCTTGACAATAGGATGTTGATACATGTCGGCTCCCTAATGCAGAATAAAAAAAAAAAGAGGTCTCAAGCAGCAAGTTTTGGCAGGAAAGGGCCAGGACTTTCATTCCAAGCTTTGAAAAGCCTCAATATCTCCCCTGCCCAGCTTTAAGATGCCACACTATAATTAGAGATAAAAAAAGCACCTTTGCCTCAGTCTGATGGCAATTCAATGGCACGAGGAGGGAAGGAAGATTACTACGTAATTAAATTTCAAAAGTATTTCTCATTTCCATGAAAGGATATTTAAATTATTTTTGTTAAAAACTATAGACTGTTAGCAAGTAAAGTAAAAATTACATAAAATACATCAGAACCTGAAAAACAAGTTTTAAGGAATCGATCCACAGAAACAAACAGATACACCACATCAGTTCTGCACCAAGGCTAACAGTAAGCTGAGGTAAGGCATGACTGTGCACCTTTGATAATGAATTAGCTAGTTCATGATGCAAAATGGGAATATACAGGCTTTTCAAAAATATTTTTTTAAACTTTACCTTTTCTGTGACTTTAAGTTCAAGACAACTTCCTATATATTTAATTTACTGCAGACTTCAATGAAAACCTAATACAAACCAGCAATCCTTTGTTAGTTTTGATAAGAAATTTCCAAACAACATCAAGCCATTTTGCACCAACCACATAAAAACTGTATTACAGTGTTTTAGATAGTGTATGTCTACCTTCTGTTCACCATGGATATGTATTTTCACAACTTTAAACATTTGGAAAAAAAAGTCCAATATACATACGTACTCTATAATATACATTCAACCTAAGGTTACTGTACTATCAACTAATCAATACTTTAAAAAAATTAAGGTGTTCTCCAAAGTGTTGATTTATGTTTAGGGATGAATTAAAACAGAGAGATGTAAGCACTTCAATGTTTGTTTAAAAATATTAAATGATTACTGTATTATGAAGTGACTCTTGTATGGATCATGTGGCTTTTCTTTTTAATGCTGATTAGATACCTCCATGGTGGTCGAAATTTCATTTGAAAATCTTGACATCTTTATACTGTACAGGTAAAAAAGTTCTTCATATAAGATACCAGCTCATCTACATGTAAAAAATGTTCCCTATTGTATAAACATTATAGAATACTGTACTGTACTGTGTAATATAAATGTTCATCAAAAATTAAGGTTGCTATCTGAACATTATTATCTCAAAACTAAGAAAACGAAAGCACTCTTAACAATTATCAGCACTGTCAGCACTGGACTACAAAATCTTTTTCTTTAGTAATGATCATCCGATATCTCAATCAAATCTATAAAAAATATAAAATATAAACCACTTCTAATGTCTTATGAAAAATTAGTAAATAATATGTGAGATCCACACTTCTAAACACTACCTTGATGAGCCAACTTCTCACCTCTTGACTCAAGGTTAAATCAATCCAATTCAAAATACTGTAGTAGTCGACTCAAGCTACAATTTGAAGAAAAATATCAAGTTTTCATCCCATTTATGTTGAGTTGTTCTTCAAATGTGAGTGTTTCTTGAAGCATGTAGTGATCCCTCTGGTATGTCTGTCTTTCTAGTATGAGGTTTCTCCCACAAGCATGGAGGTCTCTCTCTCTCTCTCACAAACTGTTACACCAGTACTTAAATCTTCAACTCTGCTGAGCACTGTATCATCCCTCTGCCATGACTGTCGATCATTAAGGACTGAAACACTTTAGGGTCTTGAGAACTTTAAGTTCTTAAAAAAAATTATTTTTTTAAACATTTGGGTTTTCTGTAGTTTAGTATGTAAATGTTTGTTAAGCATATTAGTAGATGCACTTCAAGCAGTGACAAACTGGAGAGGCACGCCAACTCACCTCTTCTGTGCAGAGTAGTCCTGCCAATATGATGCACTACCAGGAGATATGCAAAAAAGCACAATGAAAACTACGGCAAGAAACTTAGACACAAATTCCCTGAGAACTGAAGATTGGTATGAAACCATCACTTCTTGCAAAATAGTCTAAAAAGACATAGAGTGTAACATGCTTCTCTGATTCACTGAACTCCTCATTCAAGCTATCTCAGATCATTCAAAAGGAAAATATGCATATAAAATTCAATTGCTGACCCAGATAGTCATATTTATAGTTAGTATTGTTGCCATTGTTACTAATTCTATGATTCAAAACATTAAAGAAATCAGATGCTGGAAATGTTACATAATTGTGAGTTACTTCTTCAAGCTGTAAAGAAGAAGAGCTAAACATTTATCACACTATCAATAGTCTCAAGTGCCATTTTAGATGTCTGTAAAAACAACTGAACCAAAAGATCATGTTCAGTCAACTAAACAAATGATGCAAACTAACTCTAAAGATGATAATTAGCCTATAATATCAAGTAAAAAAGCTACACATTTGTATTGCCAAGCAAGAACATGTAAAACATCATGGAAACAATCAACTCTTATATGAGCTGCATCAGTTCTATGTGATAATGGTAAGCCGAGTCACTGAAAAATCCTAAAATTATTTATAACAGAAGTACTGTAGTTAATTTATGGATTTTTTTTTATGAAGAATATAAACATCAATTTATGAATGGTTTCAGTCCTCTCATTATTTATAATCATTTTGCATTTCAACATTTTTAAAGAGGCAATTTATGGTATCAGTTTAAACTAAGAAGAGAAAAGTTTACTACAAGTTTAACATATTGTTAGTCTCAGCTTAACAAAGATTTGCATGATGTAGCTCAGTGTCGAAGACAAACGAAGAAAAATACTTAACCTGTTACATCTGCTAAATGTACTAAACCTCCATCAGACATTCACACACCCAAGATCAACTAAAAAGAACCACCAAGATGTCTTCCTCTTTATGTCTCATCTTGTCATTTTTGCATAATGTAATAAGACAGTCTGACCCAGTGATTAAAAGCTGCGCAAATTCAGGTCACATTGCCGCACACACACACACACACACACACACTCACACACAAATATTACAACCATGAATAATAATAGCACATTCTTCTGACGGTAAATTAAAAAAAATACAAAACATAACTTATCAATTAAATGTTGCAGTGTTGCATTATACACAGTGAAAAAGCCAAACATTAGTGGATTACAAGTGAATTCAACAAAGGAATAGATATAAATTGTGTAAGAAAGGATTAAGTCCCAATGAACTTTGGGGATTAGGATATCTATACATATAACAGGAAGCGATCCTTGAGTGTTGTACAAACAAAGTGACCAAGAAGTGGACTTAAACTGTATCACATCAGGTAGTCAGTGTTGGCTGGCTTGGTGGCTACAAAGAAAATGTACACCAGAAGAATTATTCCTGGTATATTAAAAATATTAAAATAACAGAGAATTCTTGTGAAGGGAAAAAAAAAAGTCGCTCAGCAATAAAGTGGATACAAATATAAAGATACTGAAGAAAAATGCTTGTAGGTAAAGTTGTTGTGTCAGATTATCAAATAGTGTATGAAAGAAGTATCTGAAGAGAATAGTTATAGAAAAGTGAAGAAGGTGGTGGCAAGGATAAGAAAGCATACCACAAAAGACACGCACACTAACACCTGAACCTCACCTGCTGGTAACATCGTCAATGTCTGCGGCCGTTCCACTGACCTTCATAGCGTACAGGTTCTTGGCAAAGTCCTGAAAGAAGTAACTGCATTAAAGGATTGTATCAGGTAGGTAATAATTAATGGATGGCAATGAAAGTAAAAGTTAGAGCAACAAAACTATTGATAAATAAAACACCATCAACAAAAGCAATAAGAACATCAGAACAATACTACAACTACTACAGTACTACTTTTATTACTACATACTGTACTACTACTACTAACTGTAATAATAATAATAGTGTGATACAGGTCAAACCCTACTATTCCAACACCCTGTGGTCTCGCAACTTTTGTGGTCCAGCATGCTTTGTGAATGGCAATATTGACAGGATTGGTTCCTTTGAATATACAGTACAGTACTGTTGCACGTCTAGCATCACAACAGTCATGTGATGCAGTACGTACTTAAAAAAGGGGCGTAACTATTCTTGCACTAGTATGAAAAATAACTGTTATATATGCTGGAGGCGATAGTTCACAAAGCTGGTTGGTGAATGTGGCGTCCCAATTCCCTACACTGTTTATATCTGCCTGTCTGGGCTCTCAGTTCTCTGTTCTGTGCTTTTATGTGGCTCTAATTTGCCCTTTAATGTGGTTTCAAAGAGGCCAGCATGTAGTGGGATACTAATCTCCTCAGTACATATGTAAGGTCTAGACGAGATGAGTACTATTTTAGTGGTGGTAATGCTACATAAGCTGCACCAAGCCTACATAAGTTACACACACTAATGTATCTTCCAAGCACGTTTGTAAAAAACTACCGGGTATATAGCACCAGTCAGGTCTTGAGGTGCTGGGTTATAGGGGATCAACCTGTAGTGATGATCAACGAGCATCACACAAAGAGCTTCTGGCAATGCCATTTTCAAACCAATTCTTAATCTATGCAGTGTCTCATACCACCCACAATTCTTACGATGTATTATTGGGTCTTCTGAACCCACAACATAATTTTTAAGTATTGTACGAGAATTCTTTTCATTCATTCCAAGAAAGTATTCTCAGCAGATATTGAAGACAGTAAACAGATTACCAAGACTACATAATCTACTATGACTTTAGTTTATTCAGCAAAAGTAAGCACAAATAATTTATCTTTGAAACAAAACTAAAAACAGTACAGTACAGTACAGTATTAGCATAATATTAATCACAATGAAAATAACCACAAAAACACTTCCACATCATCGTACTGACTGCATATTGTGTCTGGCTGGGACTGTCTAGCCAAATGATGCACAATTTATAGTACCAGTAGAAAACTGTACAAGTGCATCATTAATTCTAAATTTAATTAAATTTATCATTTCCACCACATATCAGCTTATTAGCCATTTGGGCAGTTGGTCTGTTCTTTGTTAGGACCTTCATTGTCCAGTGTTAGCACAGGAGGAAACCGGTGATATTTGGTAGCATCACACTAGATAACACCGTTCCCACATGTCTCTCAGGACAGGACTTGAACCCACGACATAATAGTGAGAGATACAAGTGTTACTGTTACATGTACTCCCAACACTTTGGCCAACATTCACATGGCTTTTATGTATTAAGCTTCGTCTTTCTATTTTCCCTACTGGGCTAAACAGGTAACAAAAATGGAAATTATGTCTCTGGAATATGGTTGTCCCACTCTACAAGCGGACCAGAAACATTAACCAACTAAAATGAACTAAATACAGAAGTTAATCTAACTGATTATAACAGGTAAAATATAAATCACAGAGACCCAATTTTGATGTGATGTGATGATGAATATGCAGTACAGTACTGTACATATTAAGGTTCAAGAGAAGTTTCAGGATACACCTAATAATTTTTTTTTATAAAAGTTGCCACATACAGACACATGGTCAGACAAGAGCAACACTGCTGGCTTTTTTCCATATTTGTGTTGAACCATAAAAAAATTATGGAGATGACTTGCAATACCTGGACAGAGACACAGACTGCCCAAAATATTATGTAGGGACACAGAGACAACTTGATACAGTATGTAGAGCAGTCAAGGCCATCAGTCACTACTGGCAAGAACAGACAACGTCAAAGGCGAATCATTTGTCAGTACTGTATAATCTTGTCTACCTTTGACCTAAGGTATTTATATAATTCTTTATAAGTTGTGTACAAATTTATGCCCTTGTTGGTGACTTTATGTCAATACTGTACTGCACTTCAGAGGATAGTTGAGTAACTGAATAAGATTTTCATTATTTTTTTTTTTTGAGGAATCAAGTTTCATGCAATACAAGCATTTGGTTCTCAGAAAAGATAGTTCATAATAGGTATTGTAGACATTTTTACTAAGTTGTAGATGAAAATTTTATGGATAATGCAAAGATATTGTGCAGGAATTTCCATTTATAAGCCAAGATATGCAACATACTCGAATGGATCATAACTCCTTAGGCTTAGATGTAAGGAGTGTGCTGGGCTGGACACTAAATATTTGTGCAAGATATTTGTGAAGATAATAACATAACCAGTGGACAGAAGGGGACCAATGGCTCATTCATTTATTAATTTACTGTTGGAGGAGGAAATGTGCATCTGTGCCTTGTTTAGTGATTTATTTAGGGTCCTCTGAAGTGACAACAAAAGATATTTCTAAACTAAGGAAAACAACAAAAAGAACAGTAGTTATATGCAGGGTGTTCAATAGCCTCCATGGGATAAAGTATGAAAGTACCCTCCTGTATACATAACCTACCCAAGTACTACAGTATACATAATATATCTCTATAGATAGTATATTCACCAATAAATAACATATCCATCTACAGATAAGGCATCTATATACAGACAATATAACCATCTGCATATAGACACTATACCAATATTTAGACAAAATATCCATCTATGAATAAAATATCCATCTATGGCTCTGGGACCTCATTGACCCTCTTGGCTCTATCAAGTCCCAGCACCATCCTCTTTCTTGTCCCAATTGGGACTATTAAAAAACTTAAAAGAACTGCATATACCTTTCTTTTTTTGTTTTTGTAGAACAGTTTTCTGGAAAACTCCTGAAGAGAGAGGACAGATAATGGCATCACAAAACTTCATGCATAAGTATGAGAACTGAAAATGATACTGAGTGAGAAGTATATGAAATTGTAAATAAATACAACAATATTTCATCATACTCAAATGCAAACTCCACAGGCACATGAAAAACAAAGCTATGTAATGGGTCAAAAATTAAATCATAAATATTTCAAATTAATAAAATGTAGATCAAGATCTTGAAAACACAGATATTAAGTAACATGACAATCTACACTATTCAGTAATAATAAAAATAAACAATAATCCAGGTAAAACATATATATCAAGATTCACTCGAAAGGAAGAATTCAGTTTTCAGCAATACTTTACACTATGTTAGCAGTAGATTGTCTCCTGGAGAATTAACACCACCTCTATAGCTCATTCACACTGATTCTATCATTTATACCTAATTCCCTGACACAGTACCTGTACTTTAATGAAATGTCACCACAACTCCCTCTATCCGAAAGCAAGAAAGTAATATACGTACAGTATTTGCATCTGTAATTCAAGTGAGATCTTAAGAGGTTTTTAAGTGTCAAGTTATGAATAAGTTTTACCACATGAGCCACTGAAAATCTGGGTCCTAATGTCTAACTTACTCATATTCTCAAGGATTTTCCAATTTTCATCATATAGACCAGACCTAACTACTACCTACCATAACTCTTTACTTTTAAATCATATGTGAAAGAAGCTCAGTGTAACAGCTCCTTAGTTTCTCTTCTTCAGCTGATGTTATCTCATATTACAATGTACTATACCATAATTTCAGACACTTTTTAAAAACTTCATCTTATTTTCTTAGTAATCCACCAAAGTTTAGATTGACAAGTTTTCTTTCATCCTAACCAATCCATTTGTTTCACTGAATAATACAGTATCTCCTCTCTTCAACCCCTCTACAATACTATCACTGACTGTACAATACATTCTGGGCTTCCTATGTCTCTAAGAAAGATAAAGTGTTCCATTTGGATCAGAATACTTCATTAATAACATTAGTTAGTTGTCGAACAAACAGAAAATTGGTTAGGTTAGGTAGCTAGTAAGGGTGAAGGTGCAGTTCCAGGATAAACAGTGTGTGGATAAAGGTGTGCAGAGAACATGCTACTTCATGACAGAATAGTGTGTAAAGGTCTTAGAAACATTCACAGACAGGACACATAACATTTATAACCTGCACTTACCCAATTAATATTGTACTTTCTATCCTAACATCACTCTGGCTATCACAACTAAACCATGTACTAGAGTATATAATACTTCCATGGGCCTAGACACCATCTTGTCTATATTACTTCCTAGATGCAATTAAATATAATCTACCCACATATTCCTCTCTTCTGCTACATACTACCTCAACAACATCTACTAGCTCTCCTAGATATGCTACTTTGCCCAATCAGCATCCCTTGTGCCCACCTCGCCATTCTCAGGGGGATCACCATTGCCGAATGTGGATGTGACTACAAGTACCAGCGCTTCGTGTTCGATGTTGATCAAGTCATAGTCCGCCATGCTGTAAACCTAGAAAAAGTATAAAAATGAATAGTATGGCAAGAAGTAATTTAGTTGTGAGGAGGTGCAGCACAGAGTCTGTGACAAAGAAAAATTACCCCGATTAATTGTGGTGATCCTTATTTGAATTAATTTAATTTATTTTATCAGTTACATTAACAATCCAGGTGAATATATCATAAATAACTTTAATATTTGCTAACTGAACATATCAATATACAAGTGTTTATGATCTAGTGCTGTACTTTACAAATTACAACCAAGATATTAATATCTAAACAGAAAAATTAAAGACTATGATGATAATGACCCAGACCTGAGCATTGAAGGTGTGGCCAAAGATTTCACCAAGTTTCTTGGCATACATCTCTGATTTGCCAGTCTCTGTAGCATACAGGATAGTTGCCTTGATCCTCTTGGATAATGCCTTCCCAAATAATTTGCTGGTGAACTTGACAGCTCTGTAAAACCACAATAAGAACCTTAGATAATATAATTTTCTAGTTAACATTCTACAGTGAGTTATATGACTACAAGAAACTTCTCTGTGAACCAAAAACCATATACTACAGTACAGTACTGTAATTAATTGGTAAATAATCCTTGCAAATATAAAGCAACTATACAACCAAACATTCATTTCCATTCCTCAATTTCTTATTATATCTCCCTGGAGGAAGACGACACTGTGTTCCTGGTGTTTCTCTTACTCCTACTTTTACAGTAAAAAAAAATTATCATCACTCCTTCAACTCTGGGCAATTAATGAGCTGCAATTCAGGGTTCTATAAATACCCATACGTCATGTATTGCCCAAACCTTGTATGGGTGGCAATATCGACTATATACTGTATACCAATATACCAAGATTTTGCCAAGGCTTTCGACAGCGTACCCCATGAAAGGCTGAGAATTAAACTGGAAAGGTATGGGATTCAGAGAAGTGTCTTATCATTGATCGGAGACTTTCTGCATGATCGCAAACAGTGCATGGTGATTAATAGTATGAAATCATCATGTGTACCTGTGACTAGCGAGGTACCACAGGGCAGCGTATTGGGACCATTGTTGTTTGTTTCATAAATGACATACCGGAAGCAATACACTCCTCCATATAAGTGCTTGCAGACGATGTCAAGTTATTCAAGGAAATTAAGAACCAAACAGACTGTGAAAAGCTGCAGAAAATCTTGTGAGCTTCAAGAATGATCGAAGAAATAGCTCATAAGATTCAATGTCACAAAGTGTAAGAGGATGCATTTGGGTCGTACCAATGGTAAGGAGGCGTATCATGTGTCCCAGTGGGACGAAGAACTGCATTAATAGAGATCAAATACGAAAAGGATCTGGGTGTGTATGTTGACAATGAACTGAAGTTCTAGGGCCATTGTGAGAAGAAGGTGAATCAAGCAACTAAACTACAAGTAGTAGGTCTTTTAAGAAGGCTGTTCAGTTATTTAGATGATCTGTCCCTCATACCAATCTCCAAGAGTGAGGTGCTTCCCCACTTGGAGTACTGTCACCCCGTCTGGTCCCCGAGATATGCTAGGGACTGTCAGTTAACTGAAAATGTCCAAAGGAGGGCCACAGACTGGTGACTGCACTTTGGCACCTCAGTTATTCAGAGAGATTAGAGCGCCTGCAACTGCCTAGCTTAGTGTTTTTATCCTCTTCACCACTGATCGGCTCGTTAGCCGCATGGGCGATCAGTCACGCCTCTGTTATGCACTGTTGGCAAGTACTGGGCATGCACCGGCTCCTGAATGTACCTGAACCCACTCCAGTGTTGGTCAAGTCTTGTCTTGAAAGAGCTCACACTCGGTGCCTCACAGCACTTTCTGGTAGATTGTTCCAAGAGTTCAAAACTCTCACTCCGAAAAAGTTTGCCCTCACAGTTTTCTGAACTTGCGGCTTCTTCAATCTTGAGCTGTGACCCCCTGTGGGGCGAGTGTCCGCCAGCTCCAAGTAAGGACACTCGACTGAGTAGTGCCCCTAGAGATGCTTATACACCTCAATTAGGTCGCCCCTTGCCCATCTGTAGTATAAGCAAGGCAAGTTCAGGCGCTCCAATCTCTCAGGGTAGCTGAGGTGCCGAAGTGCAGGCACCAGTCTGGTCGCCCTCCTTTGAACATTTTCAACCAACTGACAGTCCCTAGCACATCTCTGGGACCAGATGGGGTGACAGTACTCCAGATGGGGAAGCACTTCACTCTCGAAGATCGTTACGAGGGACGGACCGTCTAGATATCTGAACGACCTTCTTATAAGACCCAATAATTTATTTGCCTGATTTACCTTCTTCTCGCAATGGTAGTACAGATGGGCAAGGGGTAACCTAATTGAGGTGTGTAAACATCTCAAAGGGCACTACTTAGTTGATTATCCATACCTGGAGCTGGCAGACCTCCATCCCACAAGGGGTCACAGCTCAAGATTGAAGAAGTCACAAGTCCAGAAAACTGTGAGGGCTAATCTTTTTGGAGTGAAAATTGTGAACTCTTGGAACAACCTGCCAGAGTATGTTGTGAAAGCACAGAGTGTGAGCTCTTTCAAGACCAGACTTGACCAGCACTGGAGCAGGTTCAGATACATTCATGAGCCAGTGCATGCCCAGTACTTGCCAACAGTACTCGTTCGCCCAAGCGGCTAACGAGCCGATCAGTGGCGAACAGGATAAAAGTAAAAAGTAAAAGTGTCAGCCAAATGTTTATGGTGTACTGTATTGATAAGGTGATCCATCAGCCTCAGATTGTCTATGTGCAATGTAATACTTATTACTGTATATTCATTAGCCAATTTTCACTTTTACTTCTGTAGATACCTGTATACTATTACTGAGTAGTAACCAAACTGATGCCTTAGCAAAGAACCCTACTGGATTGCTTTGTCGGCTATCCTGGGTGAAATTGACCTACTGTTTACTATCAAATACCTGCTCGGTCTATGTATATTGTACCATGTATTGCCTATACTACACAGGGCTCCTTAACTTCACCATTAACACCTTTATGTTTATCTATTTATAATTTCACCACTTCTTAGCTTATTAGCTGTTGAGTCGAGTGTTGGTCTGTTTGTTATGACCTTTACTATCAAGTGTTAGTACAAGAGGAAACCGGAGTACTGTGCCTATAGGATACCTGTCATGTTTGGTAGTGTCTCACATCTGGGTAAATACGATTTAGAAGTTGCCAACACCTAATTATATATTGAGTCTTATATAGGGAGAAAAAGAAATCAAAACTAAAAATAATTTATTCTATAGTGTTTCTGTTGGAAATATATATTTTTCAAGTAGTTTAACTGATAAAATTGCCTACAATAATAGTTGTTCAAAGTGGGCAGGGCTTTGAAGCAGAGAGAAAATATGGGATAAAATCTTAAAAAATACTAAACATCACATTCCTCACCTTGCAATTTCTTTGAAGCGAAACTTGCGCTTGGGTTTTCTCACTGAGTTCCTGTTGATGTCTTTGTTTTTCTTCCAGACATGGACCTTCCAGGCTGCGTCCTGATACTCGTAAGCGGGCTTGAGGTAGTAGAGCGACATCTCCTGGTGGAAAACAGGGGTGATGGAGCCAGACAGGGGTGGCACAATCCACACCCAGTCTGCTGGGCAACCTCCCCTTAGTTTCTGCTCATTTTCGAAGTGTTTCATGAAGGACTCCGCAGCCGAGTGGTGATCCATGATCGTCACGTTCATTTTCTTTGGAAAATACCATAATTAACAAACTAACTAATGTATTGGTTACACATAATTCACTTTATATATAAATATATGAATATACAAAGTGCAAGCTAACTGTGTGAGGACTTTAATTAAGTCAAAATTTCTTTTGAATTTGTACAGACAATTGTCTTTTTTTATCAATGTATTCAACAGACAAGCTTAAATATTTTCAAGTATGTTAACGATCCCTCATTGGGAGGGTCAAACAGTCAATATATTTCATATATTTTTGGGGACGTTTGTGTCTTTAATCCTTACAAATAAAATGTGTCAGTAGTGTTCAATATGGAACAATAACCTCTTTTGGTTAACGTAAGGCCATCTTAAATACTGTAATTTTGTGATCAATTCATTGCATTGATTATCTGAGGTGTGAAAGCTGTACCTACATTAAAAGCCTCTCCTTCAGAGAATGGGTTGTCTTTCGTCTTGCGTGTAATGATACCATCTTGGTAATTCATCCTGCCACATTCTATAAAAGCTTCATCCCACATAGAGTACAGGTCCAGTACTCAATAGTCACCTGTAACAATTATCATGACCTAGCAGGGATCACCCGAAGAATGAGAACACCATCTTATTTCACCTGAGAGGGTTAGTCTAGGTTAGATTGCCTTGGCAGCTACAGAACACAAGCCTCTCAACACTCACCTGGAATGAATGTATGACGGCGATGTTGACCTCGACGAGGGCCTTGTCCTTCCACAGGTTGGTGGGGCTACGGGTGTCAAGACCCATCTTTACCCCTACAGTCTGTGACAACAACACTTATTAATGACATAACACTTATCAAAATGTGCTAAATAGACGTTGGTTAAAATATAATGGGCAAATATTACATACACTATACATTATATACTCGTATCTATATACGTATAATTACATCGATATCTCTGCACACCGTAGCTAAGGTATTTAAATGAACACAGTGTTCCATAAGTCATAGTACCATATACACTGATTTATGTTACTAGACTTTTAAGTTAAATATTATGAAGTAAGGAAGCATCTACAGTAGAGAGAAAGTGAACTGGGTATCTGGATAGATTGGTATTCAAGACGAGCTGTGACTGGCTGAGCAATGAACAGCACACAAAACAGTTTCTGGCCACATAGTGAACCCTCTCTTTGAACCATCACATCACAATGGTCAGGTATTAGGTAATGACCCTACTAATCTTTAAAAAGCACCGCAACAGTCGGTAGTCAGGTCAGAGGGTAAGGTGACCCAACCTTCTCACCTGGTTACAAATCTTCTTAATTACAAAAATGTCCATTTTGTACATGCCATTACTCAAATTCATGTTGACTGCTTCGGTATGTTTAATGAGACTAGATTCTATAATGTTCCTACTGTGTGTGTGTGTGTGTGTGTGTGTGTGTGTGTGTACAGAGCATCACACATACATACGGCAGTAACATATATCCAAATTTATCAATGATTTCATCAATATTAAGCTTCTCCAAAATAACACATTTAATGTTCATAAGAGACAGAAAATTGAGACTTTGCTAGGACATCGTTGAACGAAGTTCATGTTTTATACGCTTGAACTTCCAGAATGTTTGGATTTGGGGGCCAGTGCCTCATGGTTAATCCGGCACTGAACATACAGACTTTAAACAACATTACCTCAAGGATATTCAGTCGCTGAGGGTCACACAGGTCACGGGTACCAATCTCGGATGCCATGTACCAACCGTTGAAGGGAGCCGCAGGGAACTCCAGCCCGCCACAGTCGAAGAGGAGGTTGGACACGGCAGGCAGGGTGTACCACTGTAGACCCAGCTCTATGAACCACTTGTATCTGTCCAGCCAAAAGACCATTGTTATTTTCTCACTTTGAATTATCACACTCTTGTATTTTGTATCCTAGACCCCCCCCTCCTCCCTCTCTCTTCATTCTTTCATCTCTCCCTCTCTTCATCCTTTTTTTATTTACCACTTATTTCTCTGTCTTCTTTCTTTTATCTCTCTCTCCATCCTTTCTTTCATCTCTCTCTCTCTCTCTCTCTCCCCACACTAGCTAAGAGATAGATATACATATTTACACATACGATACGTACATATATAGATAAACAGATGTACTCGTATCAGATAGAGATAGACAGCGACTGACAGGCAGATAGCAACTAATAGGGATAGGCAGCAAATGATAGAGATTGACAGTGAGTGATAGATAGAGAGAAAGACGGTGACTGATAGATAGACAATAATCGATAGACAGATAGTAGTCGATAGAGATAAAGACAAACAACGACTGACAGAGATAGACAGCAACTGATAGACAGCGACTGAGAGAGAGACAGAGACAGAGACAGAGACAGACAGAGACAGAGACAGAGACAGAGAGAGAGAGAGAGAGAGAGAGAGAGAGAGAGAGAGAGAGAGAGAGAGAGAGAGAGAGAGAGAGATTACTTACTCTGGGTGGGAGATGGGCACTTGAAGGACCAGTTCTGGCGGGATGTCGAACCACTCCGGATCGTGACCATGAGCCGAGAGGACGAGGGGCAACACGTCCCACCTGGTGCCCTCCCCTTTCCACCCCAGCCTCTGGCACACCTGTCAACACCTGTCTGTTAACACCTTTATAAACTGTCACATCAAGTAGTGTGTGCGTGTGTACCTATAGTTATTAAGTCACGCCAGCATAAACCATCCTTAAAGGTGGTGTCATAGGGAGGGGCGACGCTTACTTACCTAAACTGCCACGTCTATAACAACTTTACTACGTACATTGATTATATTGGTTAATAAGTTTTGTTATTATATCAACTCTGTCTCTAACACGTCATGGTAACCTGTTGATCTGAGCACCAGCAGGTGTTGATCAGTGCCGTAAACACATGGACAGAAGGAAGGCCTAGTCAGCACAACACAGCGATGATACCAAAGTGGGTGACTAAAACTAGAGTCAAACATGCTCATGTCATACTTACTGTCACACTTTCCCTAAGTTTTGGCCACCATCCTGGATATAATGATGTACCTCACTTTTATTTTATATGTTTTTGGCTGTTGCCGTCATGTAAGTACACGAGCAATGTCTCCCCTTCACGAGGAACATCCTACTTACACAAACTACACTACAAACTAAAGCTGTCCTCATCAACAACCAGTCCCTGCACACCCACCCACCCGCACTCTAAAGCTCTTTCACTGTAGGTCATACACCCACCTCTTCCCACACACATATTTATTATCTATGGTGTACCAGGCCAGCTGAGTTTGAATGTAAGTCATTGGTCTACCAGTATAGAGAAAAATAAATATGAATTTTATGAAAAAAACAAAAAACAGGTGAGGTTCCACAATTTTTCAACCACATCAAAATTTCACAGCAAGAAGACCGTCATGTGCGACTTGTGTTCCTAACTTGTGATCAATATACAACAATAATTCTTGTATAAAGGTGCCCCACATACCAACAGTAATCAGTCCGAAATTAAAAGACGATAATGAGAACCATCTTGAGGTTTTCACTTAAAACGAACAAGTAAAAAATACTATGACTGTGCGCTATGATCACTTATCCAGCTATTACGGCCAGCTACCATAACTTCTGGTTGTTTCTTTACCATGGGGTCGTCCACACAAGCTAGGGGTGTAATAAGGCCATTAGTCTCTGTCTTCTCGCCAACCTAGTAATAGTTTTTGGAGTCCCAGAGAGCCAGGCAGAGGGAACTGTGAGTAAGGAAACACACGACAAGGTGCTGTTTCAAAATATTTGCACAGAGGTTCTGAAGATTCCAGCAACCCCTCAGGATGTGAGGAGACTGGGACAAAAGCAGGGGGCTAAGCCTCGCCCCCTCAGGATCACATTAGGGAGTGAGGAGGAAAAATGGCAAGTTATCCGGCAGGCAAAAAACTTAGCAAGGAGCGAGGCATTTCGAGATGTATTTATTCACCCAGACCGCACGGTAATGCAGAGGGAACAGCACAAGAAGCTCCTGCTGGACTTGAAGCAGAGGAGGGAGGAGTCGAGAAGGAACGGGGACAGGTGCACATGGGTTATACTCAGGGGGAGGGTAGTGGAAACAAGTGTGCCGACACAGGGCCAGGGGGCAGCAGTGCACCCTCCACCCACTCAACCCCCCACCCGGGAGGCGGCACCAGCTCAGCCTACCGGACAGGAGGGAACGAGCGCCGTGTAAACAATGAAATTTTTAACCACACCCTGCAAAATACAGTGTACTTAGCAAATGCTGCAGCTTCTGAGAATGTGGGTGGAGCGGGTTTATTACTAAGAGCAGAGACGTTACCGAGAACAAATTCTGGCTTGAATGTCATGTACACTAATACCGACACGTTCCTGGATAAGAGGGAGGAGTTTGAAACACTACTAAGAGTACACCAACCAGATATTGTAGGAGTTGTAGAACTGTTGTACAAGAACAGGAGAATCGACCCAGAGGAATGTGAGTTCAGTATTGCTGGATATGACTCATTTACGAACCTAACTCAAGAATCCTGCAGGAGGGGTGTGGTTATCTACGCTAGGCAAGACCTTAGAGCCAGCCAGGCGAGGGTACAGGGAGAGGATGTCTTTGAAGAGTCCAAGTGGTGTAAAATTAAATTAAAGGGAGGGGACTTACTTATCGTCGGGTGTATCTACAGATCCCCGAACTGTGGCCCACTAAATCAAAGGAACTTAAGAACCTTAATAAACAATGCGGCGATGCTCAACCCCAGCCACCTCCTTATCATGGGGGACTTTAACTATGGCGACATCGACTGGAGAAACGAGTCAACCCCGAATGACTTGAATAATCCTGCTACTCTTTTTGTAGAAACTCTGAGAGATAATTTTCTGTTCCAACATGTGAGAGACCCGACACATTACAGAGGGGAACAAACACCCAAGCCACTTGACCTCATCATAACAAACGAGGAGGGTATGGTGGCCAAACTGGAACACCTTGCCCCAGTTGGCACCAGTCACCATACAGTGTTGTCATTCAGATTTAACTGTTACCTAGTTCAAGATAAGGCCAGGCCAAGGTGCAAATATTACAAGGGAAATTACAATGGGATGAGGGAAGAGATGAGGGGTATCAACTGGCCTGACTTATTAAGGTACAAGAACGCAGACACTACGCTGAATATCATAACTAGTAAAATGACCCATTTGATCGATAAATATATACCCAAGACCAAACCCAGTGCTTCTAGGAATACGAGGGGATCCCTACACATGAACCATGCGGCGGTCGACAAAATTAAGAAGAAAACCCAGAAATTCAAGACGTGGGTTGGGTCAAACGATGAGCAAGACAGGAGGATGTATGCAAGAGCCAGAAACCAAGCAAAGATAGAGTGTAGGAGGGCTGAAAAGGAGTTCCAAAGGCTGGTTGCACGCGAGGTCAAGTCAAACCCAAAGGCGTTTTACCGCTATGCAAAGTCGAAATTGAAAACGCGAGTAGGAGTATCAGACCTGAGGCTTGAAGATGGTAGTTACGCAGATTCTGACCAGGATAAAGCTGAGGCATTGAACAGCTTCTTTTCCTCAGTGTTCACAAGAGAGGATGCAACTAACCTTCCTGCGTTTGAGAACCTTGCGGTTCAAACAGCATACAGTAGCATTTCTTGCGAAGGGTATTAGAAATAAACTGTCCGACTAAAGATTCAAATTATGGACTGACATGAGTAAATCTAGAGGTGCTAAGGGGCTGTGCAACAGGCACAGAAGCCCCTGAAGATTCTGTTTTGTAAATGCCTGGATGAACAAGTAATGATTACGAGTGAATGGAGAGAAGTGGCTTATGTGAGTCCTATCTTCCAGAAGGACTGACTAGAGCGCTCACGAACAACTATAGACCGGTGGCTGACCAGCATAATATGTAAAGTACTTGAAATTATTATCGAAGATGCAGCGATGGAACATCTACTACTGAAACAACCTTAAAGATTGCCAACACGGTTTTATGCCGGGCGCTCTTCTTGACACAATTGCTCAAGGTATTGGATATTTGGACCCATATTCTAGAGACAGGGTGGTAATATCGACAATATTTACTAGATTTGCCTTAGGAAGCTTTCGACGAGTGTGCCCACGAAAGGCTGAAAATCAGTGGAAAATTGCGGAATTCAGAAATGTCTAGCGTGGATAGAAGACTTTCTACATGACCGCAAGCAATGTGTGGTGATTAATGGCACGAAATCGTCATCTGTACCTGTAACAAGTGGGGTACCGCAGGGTAGTGTATTGGGCCCGTTGTTGTTTGTTTGTTTCATAAATGATATGCCTGACGTTGTACACTCCTCCATACAAATGTTTGCCGATGACGCCAAGTTATTTCGGGAAATTAAGAACCAAGCGGACTGTGAAGAGCTGCAGAAGGACCTCTGTGGGCTCCAAGAATGGTCGAAGGAATGGCTGCTGAGATTCAATGTCACGAAGTGTAAGAGGATGCACCTGGGGCGTACCAACGGTAAGGAGGCGTACCATATGTCCCAACGGGATGAAGAAAATGTACTAGTTGAGACTGTGTGTGAGAAGGACCTAGGTGTGTATGTTGACAATGAGCTGAAGTTCTCGGGCCATTGTGAGAAGAAGGTAAATCAGGCAAATAAATTATTGGGTCTTATAAGAAGGTCGTTCAGATATCTAGACGGTCCGTCCCTCGTGACGATCTTCAGGAGTGAAGTGCTTCCCCATCTGGAGTATTGTCACCCCATCTGGTCCCCGAGATATGCTAGGGACTGTCAGTTGGTTGAAAATGTTCAAAGGAGGGCCACCAAGCTGGTGCCTGCACTTCGGCATCTCAGCTACCCTGCGAGATTGGAGCGCCTGAACTTGCCTAGCTTATACTACAGACGGGCAAGGGGGGACCTGGTTGAGGTTTATAAGCATCTCAGGGGGCACTACTCAGTTGAGTGTCCTTACTTGGAGCTGGCGGACGCTCGCCCCACAAGGGGTCACAGCTCAAGATTGAAGAAGCCGCAAGTCCAGAAAACCGTGAGGGCAAACTTTTTTGGAGTGAGGGTTGTAAACTCTTGGAACAATCTACCAGAGAGTGTTGTGACGGCACTGAGTGTGAGCTCTTTCAAGACAAGACTTGACCAACACTGGAGCGGGTTCAGGTACATTCAGAAGCCGGTGCATGCCCAGTATTTGCCAACAGTGCGTGACAGAGACGTGACCGATCGCCCGGGCGGCTAGCGAGCCGACCTTTTGGTGAAGAATATAAAGGAAAAGAGACGTGACCGATCGCCCAAGCGGCTAACAAGCCGATCAGTGGCGAAGAGGATAAAAAAAAAATTTCTAATGATATCCACCACTGGCTGGTGACACATATGGCCCTGGGGATGGCAGAGACTGAGAGGGGTAACAAATTAAAAGCTATAATTCCCAGGGAGATACAAATTCTGGGAGGATTGGGAAAGACAGCCGGAAAACTTTATGAGTGTTGGGCCTTGGTCGACAACCCTCTGACGTGAGGCTGCCATTTTGATTGATTGACTGACACAATATACGTTGCATGGATGAATAATGCACAAAGGAATTAAAAAAAGTGTTAGTTAACTTAGGAAATCTGGTCTTGTTTCCGTGTGTTGTGGGAGCTCGTTTTTTCCAGTGCTCAGTTTGTGTTGTGCGTTCACTAACCAGCTTCATGGCCCCTGACAACTTACTCTCTCCCTCGGCGCCTCTAAACTCAGCAATATTTTTGCCTCTTTATTCGCGAGAAAAATTTGGTTCCCTTGAATTTTCAAAAAACAAAAAACAAACATTGTGTGTGGTGTTTTCTCACGCTTGAAAACAAAGACTTGGAAAATATAAGAAAATTAGTTAAGGTCTGGAAAAAACACTTGAATTATATACAAGAAGACTCATAATAAACTTGTCGGGAATGCGTTAAGTGAATTAGAACACTCGATACTTCACTGAACGTGCAAAATAAGCTGTCAAAAGAAGTAAGGCTCGTAGACCACGGATGTGCGGCTTCAACATGAGTGACTTGTTCTTAACAGCATGTGAGACTAACTTTATAAGTATTGTTACGCTACGTGTGAAACAATATTTTGAACACATCATTTACACTGAAGCCATCAGCCGTTAACAAGTAATGGAGTATAGTAACACTGAAACAGACTGGCACTGACTTTAAAAAAATATACTGGCAATGTCTGGCACTGACCTTACAGGGAGTGGCACTGACCCTACATAGACTGGCACTGACCTTACAAAAACTGGCACAGACCTAATGGAAAGTGGCACTGACCTCTGTGAACTCAACGTTGATGGGGTCGCCGATGATGCTGCCATCTTCCTGCTTGTACCCGGCGTAGCTGAGGAGTTGAGGATTCCAGACCCGGAAGTCATGTTTTCCGTCCGTTCTCTGAGGGAACACCGTGATGGCTGACCTGTACACGGAACACAGGTAAGTTAATAACACCGTGATGGCTGACTTGTACACGGAACACAGTTAAGTTAATAACACCGTGATGGCTGACCTGTACACGGAACACAGGTAAGAGAGAGAGAGAGAGAGAGAGTGCGTGTGTGCTCTGGTCGGTCACACAAAGACGATTAATTTATGAATTAATAATATTTCCAGGTAGGAGTCTTTCTGCTTTAGTACATTTTGTGACTTTAAAGACGAGGAGGAGGAGTAGGAGGAGGTAGGAGATAAGGTAGGAGGTAGGGAGGTAGGGAGGTGGTGGGGAGGTAGGGAGGAGGGAGGAGGAGAGGAGGAGGGGAGGAGGCAGGAGATAAGGGGAGGTAGGGAGGTAGGAGGTAGGGGAGGTAGGAGGAGTGAGGGGAGGAGGAGGAGGAGGAGGAGGGGAGGAGGTAGGGAGATAAGGTAGGGAGGTAGGGAGGTAGGAGGTAGGAGGTGTAGGAGGTAGGAGGTAGGGGAGGAGGAGGAGTAGGAGGAGGTAGGAGATAAGGTAGGAGGTAGGAGATAAGGTAGGAGGTAGGAGGAGGAGGAGGAGGTAGGAAGAGGAGGAGGAGGAGAAAAACGCCTCTAACTTCTTCACACTACGACCATTATCCTATTTCACGCCCACGCTGTATCTCGCAACATGTTATTCACGCCCACACTGTACCCCCACAACATGTTATTCACGCCCACACTGTACCCCCACAACATGTTATTCACGCCCACACTGTACCCCCACAACATATTATTCACGCCCACACTGTACCCCCACAACATGTTATTCACGCCCACGGTTTGTCGGCAACACACACACACTGGCATGAAATCCGACTTGAAGATTTAATGAACGAGAAATGTATATTTTTTTTTACACTTCATAATCAGATTCTTGACTTTTATTAACATTTTTTTCTTCGTTTTTTTTATATTACATGTTTGGCAATTGTGTGTCTGCCAGCCATTTGTCTCTTCTGATTCCTAAGAAACAGTCTGGCGGATCACCCTGGCCTGACATGACCTGACCTAACAATAACTAACCTAACCTAAACTAAACTAATCCAACCTAATCCAGCCTTATCGGGTAATGTTAGGGTGTTTAATCTTCAGGTGAATCAATCAGGTATATTTGGATTCAACATATTCAAAGCCCCAAACCTATATTGCCTTTGTTGACTTAACATTGGTCGAATTGTCTTTCTGTTTAATCTTGTTGTGTATACCTCCACTGTCTAGGTATACATTGGAAACTGTATACCTCCACTGTCTAGGTATACATTGGAAACTGTATACCTCCACTGTCTAGGTATACATTGGAAACTGTATACCTCCACTGTCTAGGTATACATTGGAAACTGTATACCTCCACTGTCTAGGTATACATTGGAAACTGTATACCTCCACTGTCTAGGTATACATTGGAAACTGTATACCTCCACTGTCTAGGTATACATTGGAAACTGTATACCTCCACTGTCTAGGTATACATTGGAAACTGTATACCTCCACTGTCTAGGTATACATTGGAAACTGTATACCTCCACTGTCTAGGTATACATTGGAAACTGTATACCTACACTGTCTATATACACTGTGTACCTGCGTTGTCTATACATATACAGTACTGAACTGTATATATACATACGAAACAAAATTTATTATTACTATTATTATTATTATTATCACTATTATTATTATTATCATTATTATTATTATTATCATTATTATTATTATTATTATTATTATTATCACTTATTATTATCTAATCTTAACTTGCCTAATCTAAAATAATTTAATCTAATCGTACTTAAGTAACATGGATTAATCTAACCCTGTCTTACTTACCTAACTTAATCCTACCTAAACTCACTAAAGCTAAATTAATCTGAAGTAACCAAATGAAACCAAACCTAAACTAATCAATCCGATCCTAATTAAACATAACCTAACCCCCCCCCCACACACACACACATGACATCCATACAAATATCCAATTAGTTAAGCAGAACACACACTCAGACGATTGAATACTGTACTTGACAATTTCTACACGAATGAGGAGGCGCAGAGGGACAAGAGACGCTCCGAGAAGCAACAATAGTGCGGAACTCTCTCCCTCTCTCTCTCTCTCTCTTCATTAATATGTAAACTACCCACCAGATTTCACAGAGGAAAAAAAATAATAATTAAAAAAAAAAGTGTTGGGGAAAAAAAAGTATAATATATTCGTTCATTTTTGTTGTGCGTTTCAGTGAGACAAATACGTTCATTTTCACCCTCCAGTGTATGTCATAATGAAGAGGCCATCAACCAGGAACACGTAACACATAAGTAATATTTAATTAATACATAAATAACACATACGTAACATACAAGTAACACACAATTATTATAGCACGGGTAACACACAAGGAAAATAGGTAAGATAAACCAGTATAATCAAAACACACACACACACACACACACACACACACACACACACACACACACACACACACACACACACACACACACACACACACACACACACACAGAAATAGTGATACGGCTTTAAAATTGTGAAGACCAAATCCACCTGACATTCAAACTGACGTCGTTGATTAAAGTGAGCGGTGTGTGTGTGTGTGTGTGTGTGTGCCAAGAGAACACTGAACTCCACAAATGTACCACGTCTCGAGGCAACACGTGGAGTTCTAAAGTGACGAGGTTTGTGTGTGTGTGAGGCAGCGGCTGTGTCAACTGACCGGAAGGGGGGGGGGGTGGGTGGGTGGTGAGCAGACGTCAACTCCCGTGATTACCTCCTCCTACCTCACCTCTCCTCTCCTCTCCTCCAACGTGATCCAGGACACACACACACACACACACACACACACAGGACACACCATATACACACATACATACCATTACACACCCCCCCCCTCCACTCCCACGCATCACATACGAGGAAGGCCGATTGGTGGTTAATAAGACTTAAGAATAGGGTTAGATTAGGTTCTGTGTAGATTAGGTTAGGTAGAGTGCGGTGACCAAGTGGGTATAAAAAAATCACCTGTACCTAACGCCGCTGGTTCACTCAGCAGTAAACGGGTACCTAACTTTGTATAGTAGAGTAGATGGTGGAGTAGAGTGTCGGTCAAATACACACATTATGTACCAAAGATTTTACTATACATCTGCCCACAGCGTCCATAACAGGTCCTCAACCATAAGTAACCCAATTTTATATTTAAACAGTTCACAGAAGCAAAGACTGGTGAAAGTTACCATCAAGAGTGGGATCACAAGGGTGGTAGAGGAGGGTGATGACGCGCACCATAACGTGATAGTGGCCGCCCCACACCATGCTAAGTAGTTACCTCCTTCTTCCCTAAGTAGTTCCCCTCCTTCCTTCCTCCACCAACTCAATGACTGCTGCTCTCTTAACTCTTCTCACCTCTCCTCCCACACACCTGCTAGTTATGGTCCAGCAGCAGGAGGAGGAGGAGTGTGGTTTATTAACACAAGAACGTGTTAACCGGAACAAAATTACCAAAACCATAGTAGTGATAAACCTCCACTTCCCTCTCTCGCCTGCCTGGTCCACCACCTCCCTCATCTGCCATGGTCCACCTCCCTCACCTGCCTGGCCCACCTTCCACACCTGCCTGACCCACCTTCCACACCTAAGCAAGTTATTGGAAGCTCCAACAACTTGTCCCTGAATACGAATTCGCAACTTTCGATTTACAGCAGGTACCTCCCTCACCTGCCATGGCCCACCTCCCACACCTGCCTGGCCCACCTCCCACACCTGCCTGACCCACCTCCCTCACCTGCCCGGATCTTCGCCCTGTGCCTCTTTCCCTTCTACTGAATGATGCTGTACAAGTTATAGTAACAAGATTGAATGATAAAACACAACAGCGACGATCAACAGTACGTGAGACAAATCAGAGAGAGTGAGAGAGAGAGATACTACTAACTCACCTCAGGTTGCCCTTGTTAGTGCCATACTTGATGTGGTTACAGAGAGCCTCGAACATGCCGCTGGCAGTAGTGACGTAGCGGGCGTCAAACACCTGTAATAAGTCGTAAAATGTCAAAACACACCTGAGCGTTACAATACACCTGCACAACACACCTACACAACACACCTACACAACACACAAGGGGTCAAGTCTACTTTTCTCCTGGCGAACTGTGTACCAGCGACTTACACAGTACGTGCTGAACCAAATGTAAATGAGAATGATAATTTTACCGAATCTCTCTCTCTCTCTCTCTCTCTGTGTGTGTGTAACTTCGTCATTTTCAATCAGAGAGAGAGAGAGAGAGAGAGAGAGAGAGAGAGAGAGAGACTGTTTGAGTGTTTATCATTACATGTATTTATATTCTACATTAACCTCTCTATATTCTTAGTATCACCACTTGGTGGTGACTGACGGCCCACCAGCTCATAAAATAATCCCTAGTCACTAGGTATTTTTTTCCCCCAAACAACTTTTCGTTTTCCAGGTTTTCCCAGAGTAGACAAGTCAAATAAAAAGTCTGTATTTATTTTTTTATTATTTTTAATCCTCTCTCTCTCGTTCGTTTCCCCACATAAGAAAAATGCATTTATAATCTCAGCAACATGAATGGCTGCCACAGCGCCATCTAGCAGGAGGAACGAGAAAGTCAACAGTCAAGGATATTTTTTCTGAAACCAGGTTGAGGAGGCTCTATTGTGCATGGCCAATTACAGGTACAGTAAGGCGAGTCTACAGGTACAGTAAGGTGTGTCTACAGGTACAGTAAGGTGTGTCTACAGGTACAGTAAGGTGTGTCTACAGGTACAGTAAGGTGTGTCTACAGGTACAGTAAGGTGTGTCTACAGGTACAGTAAGGTGTGTCTACAGGTACAGTAAGGTGTGTCTACAGGTACAGTAAGGTGTGTCTACAGGTACAGTAAGGTGTGTCTACAGGTACAGTCTACAGGTGTGTCTCTACAGGTGTGCAGGTACAAGGTGTGCAGTAAGGTGTGTCTACAGGTACAGTAAGGTGTGTCTACAGGTACAGTAAGGTGTGCTACCACAGGTGCAGTAAGGTGTCTAAGGTGCAGTAAGGTGTGTCTACAGGTGCAGTAAGGTGTGTGTCACAGGTGCAGTAAGGTGTGTCTACAGGTACAGTAAGGTGTGTCTACAGGTACAGTAAGGTGTGTCTACAGGTACAGTAAGGTGTGTCTACAGGTACAGTAAGGTGTGTACAGGTACAGTAAGGTGTGTCTGTACAGTAAGGTGTACAGGTGCAGTAAGGTGTGTCTACAGGTGCAGTAAGTGCAGTAAGGTGTGTCTACAGGTGCAGTAAGGTGTGTCTACAGGTACAGTAAGGTGTGTCTACAGGTACAGTAAGGTGTGTCTACAGGTACAGTAAGGTGTGTCTACAGGTACAGTAAGGTGTGTCTACAGGTGCAGTAAGGTGTGTCTACAGGTGCAGTAAGGTGTGTCTACAGGTGCAGTAAGGTGTGTCTACAGGTACAATAAGGCGTCTCTACAGGTACAATAAGGCGTCTCTACAGGTACAATAAGGCGTCTCTACAGGTACAATGAGGCGTCTCTACAGGTACAATAAGGCGTCTCTACAGGTACAATAAGATGAGTCTCAGGTACAATGAGATGAGTCTACAGCTACCATATATCTACAGGTACAACAAGATAAGAGCCTCACCTGTAATTTGGACCACTGTATCCGACCAATACACCTGGGGGCGTTCCTCCAGGCCAGCTTGGCGCCGTAAACTAGTTCGGTCTGGGTGAGGTCGTATGTGCCTCTCTCAGCCATCTCCTTGGTTACTTGCTCCCAGCGTTGGCGATGCTGCTCGCTCTGGTATCTGAACGAGTACACATTTAACATACTTTTAGCATCCACATTTAACATACTTTTAACATCCAAGTCATAATAATTAACATACAAATTAACAAACAAAAATGTCTTAACAAAAAATATTATTAAAAATCAAAACAAATGTATAACAAAAACATTTAACATGAATGATTAACAGAATGCCATGAACAATATTTTAACATTTGGTAATTAACTCACAAATAGTTCACCTAAATAACCTAATTAACAAGAGATTTAAACAATTATCAACGGCTGATTTAACTTAATATTTCACGAATTAAAGTTAATCTGTGCCAGGGGTAAAGTTCGTGTGTGTGTGTGTGTGTGTGTGTGTGTGTGTGTGTGTGTGTGTGCAATAATAATAATAATAATAATTAACGGTTTATTGAAAAAGTTCTGCAGCCCGAAGGCTGAAAATATACATTGGGCATAAATGACTTATTACATACATTGGTGGTTTAACAAAAGCCTTCATTAGAGAAAGGTAAAGGAACATACAGTGAACATACACATTAATGTAGGTGTTGAACAGCAAACTCGTAGTGTAGTAACTCCCTCCCAGATGGTGTTAGGAGGAACTCACGTGGTGTAGTAGTTCCTCAGATGGTGTTATGAGGGACCTGGCGTGGTGTAGTAATTCCCTCGCAGATGGTGTTATGAGGAGCCTCACGTGATGTAGTAATTACCTCACAGATGGTGTTATGAGGGACCACGTGGTGTAGTAATTCCCTCACAGATGGTGTTATGAGGGGCCTCACGTGGTGTAGTAGTTCCCTCAGATGGTGTTATGAGGGACCTGACGTGGTGTAGTAATTCCCGCACAGATGGTGTTATGAGGGACCACGTGGTGTAGTAATTCCCTCACAGATGGTGTTATGAGGGACCTCACGTGGTGTAGTAACTCCCTCACAGATGGTGTTATGAGGGACTTGACGTGGTGTAGTAATTCCCTCACATATGGTGTTATGAGGGACCTGACGTGGTGTAGTAATTCCCTCACAGATGGTGTTATATGAGTGAGGTGTGGTCCAGGCCTTCCTATCGTAGACGGATTAACACATCGCTGGTTGTTGTTGGGTCGGGCCGTTATCACTGGGTACCTGGGACCTCACTGTGTGAAGGTTAACTTGGGTGCGACTGTTTCTGTTGAGTTGTTCTCACTGACTTAAGCACTGTTCACCACTGTTCACCTCTGTTTAACACTGGTTCCATTCCTTTCCTAAATGAAATTGTAACTTCTGGCGAGAACTTGTTGATATTCCGGTGGGGAGGAGGGTTCAGGGGAGGGAGTTGGTATGGGCCAACTTAACAGTTGACCTGGCTGCTCCGAGAGGAGCGCCAGGTACGTCTTGACCCTTCGGTGGTCAAGGATGTAGTGTGTGTGTGTGTGTGTGTGTGTGTTTGCGTGTGTGTTTGCATGTGTGTGTGTGTGTGTGTGTGTGTGTGTTTGCGTGTGTGTTTGCATGTGTGTGTGTGTGTGTGTACTCATCCCGTTTCTCTCTTCTTCGATACAAAATCAAGACAAAATTACAACAAAAATAACAGCTACAAAATAATCCCCAAAACGTAACTTAAAATCTTCAAATACATTCTTATTAGATGAAAATTTTGGGGATCACCTGAAGATTAGGCTCCCTCAGATTATATCACCTGATGATTAAATACCCAAACATTACCTAGGGTGGTTAGGTTAGGTTAGGTTAGGATAGGTTAGATTAGATTAGGTTAGCATCAGGGTGGTTAATCTTCAGGTGAATGGTGAGAGGTTAATCTCCAGGTAATCAAAATTAGTTTACAGGTGAAGGTAGTGGTCGTGCCTGTTACACATTATTCAGTTCAGCAAGAAAACTGGCGGTAAGCAGAGGTGTGGGGGGGCCGCGCGTACAGTAGGTAGGGTTTACTGGTACTAAAACTGCCGATCATGAGAAGATTAAACACACAAGAGTATTTTACCTGATATTTAAACACCCTAATGTTAACTTAACCTCACCTAACGAAAACCTAACCTAACAAATAAAAACCTAACCTAACCTAACCTAACCCCACGAGTGAAAAATAAACAAAAGTGAACTAAAACATATATCCAGATTCCAATTCGCTTAGAAAAAACAAAAAGCATCGTTCTCTAGACACTGAAGAGGGTATCCCCGCCCACCCCAACTCCTCCGTGAATACAATAAATACAACAGCCATATACATCAGAATTATGATGAAGACGGCCCCTGAATCCACAACAACGCCGCCGCTCACTCCACACTTTACAACAATTTCGTGTGGGTAAGCTGCCGTAAAGTGGTGATAGGTATTCATTTTTTTCGATAATAATGGAACCTCTGTTTACAATGTTGGTGGAGGTAAGACGCCTCTCTCCCTCTTTAATTTCCATATATCTTAAGGGTGTTGGAGAGAAGGACCAGCTGAGGGTGAGGGGAGTGTAGAGGTGTGTGAGGGGGGAGTGAGGGAGGGTGGTGGTGTGTGAGGGGGAGTGAGGGGAGTGTGGAGGTGTGTGAAGGGGGGAGGAGGGGAGGGTGGTGGTGGTGGTGTGTGAGGGAGGGGTGGGGGTGTGTGGGAGGGGGAGTGAGGGAGGGTGGGTGGTGTGTGAGGGGAGGAGGGGAGGGTGGTGGGGAGAGGGGAGTGGGAGGGAGGGTGTTGGTGTGGAGGGGGGAGGAGGGGAGGGTGGTGGTGTGTGAGGGGAGGAGGGAGGGTGGTGGTGAGGGGGAGTGGAGGGGAGGGTGGTGGTGTGTGAGGGGAGTGAGGGAGGGTGGTGGTGTGAGAGGGGGGGTGAGGGAGGGTGGTGGTGTGTGAGGGAGGGTGGAGGTGTGTCAGAGGGCTCACGGGGAGGCCAAGGATCTGTTACACATTATTTTACACCCAAGAAACGTGTTTAACCACCCGATAAAACACCCCCCTTAACCCGCGTCCCCTAAACCACGCTCCTTAAAGCCACCCCTTTAAACCATATCACCCAAACCATTCCCCTTAAACTACCTCAGAAAACCACGCCCCTTAATACCACCCCTTAAAACCACGTCTCCTAAACCGTGTCCCTTAAACCACATCCCCCTAAACCACCCAACCAATCAGCGAACGGAATCAAAGCCTTTTCCTGGTTCACATAAAACTCTTAACTTCTTTACATAGAAGCTAATTTAGTTCACAAAATACAGTTCTAAACTTGTATAATCTGAGTAATGACTTGTGGATGTTTGTGTTTGCTTCTGTGTTTGTTTGTATGTAAACTAAAAATCTCACGTACGAACACAAACTTATACACATATATATCAATCAAATAAGTAACAAATAAATAGAAGTGGATGTATGTAACGAGCAAACACAAACATTTACACAAAAGCACAAACTTACAAACACACCAAACTCAGACCGATAAACAAACACATTTATAAGTACTGGACAAACACTCATAATCTTAGGATACAAACATACACACACACACATACATCAATATCTACAAACACAGAGCAGAGCAGAGCAGAGAGAGAGAGAGAGAGAGAGAGAGACAAACTGCTTTCTCTTCGTTTTCTTCTTTTCATCTCTCTCTTCTCTCTCCTCCCTTTCCTTCATTTCTTCCTTCCATCAATTCACTTCCTCCCTCCCTCTCCCCTGCAATTCTATCTTCCCTTCCATTACTCTCTCTCTCTCTTCTCTCTCTCTCTCTCTCTCTCTCTCTCCTTACCGCACCTCCTTTCCATCTTAATCACAACTTTCATGACAGAGAAAAAGGTCATTTTAGGCTTTACTTCAGTTAGCGGTGATAATTTATGTTAACTTGTGAACACCGTCAAAAGCAAATTGAATCATTGGCAACTCCAGCTGACTCAACCATCTGGGGAGACCATCTGACTCACCCATCTGGGGAGACCATCTGACTCACCCATCTGGGAGACATCACACTCACCCATCTGGGAGACCACCTGAATCACCCACCTGGGGAGACCATCTGACTCACCCATCTGGGGAGACCACCTGACTCACCCACTGGGAGACCACCTGAATCACCCACCTGGGAGACCACCTGACTCACCCACCTGGGGAGACCACCTGACTCACCCACCTGGGGAGACCATCTGACTCACCACCTGGGAGACCACCTGACTCACCCACCTGGGAACCTGACTCACCCACCTGGGGGAACCATCTGACTCACCCATCTGAGGAGACCATCTGACTCACCCCATCTGGGGAGACACCTGACTCACCCACCTGGGGAGACACCTGACTCACCCACCTGGGAGACCATCTGACTCACCCATCTGGGAGACCACCTGACTCACCCACCTGGGGAGACCATCTGACTCACCCATCTGGGAGACCATCTGACTCACCCATCTGGGGAGACCACCTGACTCACCCACCTGGGGAGACCACCTGACTCACCATCTGGGAGACCATCTAACTCACCCACCTGGGGAGACCACCTGACTCACCCACCTGGGAGACCATCTGACTCACCCACCTGGGAGACCATCTGACTCACCCACCTGGGGAACCATCTGACTCACCCACCTGGGGAGACCACATGACTCACCCATCTGGGGAGACCATCTGACTCACCCACCTGGGGAGACCATCTGACTCTTACCTGGGAGAGGAGAGGTTCAGAATACTTACGCAGGCTGCATTACTGTACACTAGGTTGGAATAATTATGTTGGGGTTGGTTAGGTACTGGTGGTCATTATATTCAAGACCTGTACAAGCAAATACCGCCTGTTGTTGTCTGAATTGAAGAAGAATGTAAAAGGTGGGTTTTTCCTCCTTCCCAACTAACTGTCACTTGAATAAACATGTCAACGTAACACTGTGTCAAGGATGTTTGCTTTGTTTGGTGTCGAATAAACTATATTTACACACACACACACACACACACACACACACACACACACACACACACACACACACACACACACACACACACACACACACACACACACACACACACACACACAAGCAGCAAGTAACATTGAAG